TTTTCGACTTTTTCAAACATTTTTCTAAATTTTTTCTGAAAGTTATTCTGCTTTAAATATAGTTAAAACTTACTAAAAACAATTCGAAAACACTTTATATTTGATTACTAGGTCACCCGAGACCACCAGGAAAAAAATTGGTTTCCCCCCCCGGGAATACTTTCCCCCCCCCGGGAATCCTAAAGAACCTGGAACGTTTCTAAACGGGTTTCCACTATTCCTAAACGCGAAAACTACACATCTTTCGAAAAAAATAAAAAATCTTAATTTTCCACCAAAATAGGTGTTTTTTATCAATCGACTTTTACAAAACTTTTAAAAGTCTTTGTCATTTTTAGCTAAAGTATAGTTATATCTCACTAAAAACTATTAAAACACGTCATTTTAAGTCCCTAAACATTTCTCCACTTATAAAAAAGTTCGGCCCCCCGATAATGCGAAAGAACCGATATTTTTTGAAAATGAAGGCAGAGTTTCGTTTTTCATAAAATTCTCGATTTTTCTACTCCTAAAACCCACATTTTTCTGCGCAAATTCGATGACGTGCTGCGGGGGTAGGTCGATGCCGTCCATCAAGCAGCGGCTTCGCCAGAATTCGGCGTCCAGGATGTGGTAGAATTGGCGGCAGACCTAAAAATCTGGTCAATTCGGAGTTAGAAGCTCACCTCCGACATATTTTTCAGCTCTTCGTAGTCACATCGCAAAAAGATCTCGAACCAGGCAAAGTCGGGCTTCGGCTCATTGTTCGGGCCGCGCGGCATCGGGTTCGTGAAGGAGAGGAAGGCATTTTTGATGCGCTCCATTTCTGAATAAAAAATATAGGTTTTCAGGTCTTCAAGAACGGAAAATCAAAGAAATCAAAGAAAAATGCTCTCGAGATAGACGAAATTCTTGGGAGCGTAAATATACACTTTAAATTACGCAATAAAACCAGTCTTGTTGTATTGTAAGGCCAGAAATCGATGGAAAATTTCAGATCTATATCGTAACACCGCACAACCCTAGAACTATTAAAAAATTCAGCTTTTTACTTTTAATAAACCAAAATTATCCGATTTTTCCTATGAAGCAAAGCCACGCACCTTGTTTCAGCCACTCTTTTGGCTGCACCTTTCTACGAGAGCTAAGAATCCGCGCAAACATTAGGTATAGCTAGCAATGACTAATTTTGTAAGGAAAATGCGGGATATAAGAACGGGGGAGCGGCTTTTGCCAAAATGCGGACGTAGATTTGGGTGTGGGTGGGGGCAAGATGAGTCACCCCCTCCGCATTTCAGGGCCTAACGCGTAAACAATTTCGCAACGCGATGCGGCCGTAGGCAGGGAGCGAAAGGGCGAAACGAGGTGCTGCTCCTGCGATGTTCGTTTTAAACTGAAATTAAAGGCCCAGTAAATCTTGTTACGGTTCTTTCACCTTATCGCGGGGTGGGGGGGGGGGTTCTTAGGAACCCATTTCTAAAATATAAATAGCGGAAGTGTTTCTAAACTGTGTTTTAGTATCCCTAAACGTATCAAATTTACAATTTTTTTATGAAAAATACAAAAAATGTAGATTTTTCGGAATATAGATGCCCGTTTTTGCTCAAAATTTCCAATTTTTGAAAAAATTTAGATAGTTTTTCTAGCTAAAATATAGTTTTATTTTAATAAAACACTATGAAAAGGATTCTTATTAAGTTACTAGGCATTTCTAGATCAACACATAAAAATTTATTTCCCTCTCCGCGATAGTGCGAAAGAACCCTTGTTTCATAGGCGGCGTCATATGCGTCTTGCCATTTTCCAAAGATATCCTTTGTCCTGTTTTCACTAAATATTTACAAAAAAAACTACAAAGCAAGGCTCCCATGGCTGCATGCCAATCGTTTTTTCCTCAACTGCTCATCAGCATTTTCCAAAGGCTTCTTTATCAAAGTTTCATACCCAACAACAACGACAAAAATGGCGATCGACCTGTATCGGTAAGTGCATGGTACCAGCATCACAAAATGAGAAAGTATCTACAAATTTTAGATTCCAAGGGGATAATGGGGGCAAAAAAGTGCTTATTCCGACTCCTCTTCCTCGTCGCCATCCTCGTCGTAGTCCACGTCTTCCGCGTCATAGTCATCGCTGAAGTTGACGCTTTCCTGGTCCTCGTAATCGTCATCCTCATCGTCGCTGATGAAATTGTACATGACGTGCCGGCCGAACGCGTCGTATTCGTAATCGTCCGGCTCGGAGAGGGTCTCATCGAAGTCGACCGGGGCCGCATCCTACAAAAAAACGGATTGCTGCTAGAAAGGAATTCATGGGTCCTGGACTGGGTCCAGTGGAAAAGGGCCGCGAAGCGGTTTTTTCCACTGGTAGCTATATACTAGAAAAGCACGACAAAGTAGGCAAATGTTTTTTCTCATATAAAAACCTTCAAAAAGGATAAAGTACGCGTCAACACTTTTTCTGACCTCCGTATCATTCCATTCCAACTTTTCCGGGAATACGAGTTGCAGCTCGGTGTCCGTAAACTTCATCCCGTAGTTGCCGGCCCAGAACTAAACGGAAAACGTTATTCATTGGCGGTTTAAAGTCACATACCTGATTATCCTTGGCCGTGCTGCTGACCAACACGTTTCTCATGCCAAATCCGTAGTCGGCTATTAGGATTTCCTCAGTCTTCCAGGGCTGTTCTAAAAACAGTGTTTTCGAAACGATTCTAATTCGTTAGCGGGGGGGGGGCCTTTTGAGCACTTAGGGCTCATCAAAACTATTAAAATAAACGCTTTTTACATTCTTCTAGCTGCTTTGTTCAAAAATTTCTAAAAAGATGTCTCGTCTTGTCATAGTCGGGGTCTACAGCAATATCTCATGAATTCTGCTTTCCCGGACTAAAAATCCGCTACTCCCCCGCCAACGGAGCAGAACTCCAAAATTTGCCATAGCTCCCGTAAAACAAGAATTTCCTTACTTGCCCATTGCGGATAGTGGGTCTCCCTGATGTCACCCCGGGAAGCGTCGGGCTTACCAAGCCACCGTACCAGCGTGTGCGGATAGATTTCGTCTTCCTTCCGAACCTGGAAGCTCGTAATTTCTATCTTGAAAACTGCCATACCTGCGCTGCAAAATTGTACACAGCTGAACAGTCGAATCGTGGTGCGTGCCGTTCGCGTGCAACGATTGCGGGCCGCAACTTGTCGAGCACCCAGGGCTGAATTCACGGTTTCTATCGCAAATTAGAAACTCGTACCTCAATACCAGCTTTTTCCAGGTTTACTAAAATGCTTCTGAATCCGCGTATGAAGCTGGTCGCCAGCGCCTCGGTCGGCATTTCCGGCGTGGCATTGTAGCCAACCGGCGGGGACTCATATGTGCAACTAAAAAAGTGTTAGTAAAGGTTTTTATTAAGGACGATATTAATAAAATTGAAGGATCTCTGGCATTAACGGGGGCCTAACTTTTGCATAAGTCTAGAAATGACCAGGAACTTAATAAGAAATATTGGCAATGTTTTTAGCAAACTACAACTATATTTAAACTCAAAACACTATCAAAAACCTTGAAAACTTTGGAAAGTCGAAATTTTTAGCAAAAATCGGCTATTTTCGGCCGAAAAATGTAGATTCTGACATTTTTGTAAGTTTTTACGGGTAGGTATGGAAAAACGTTTAGAAATGCTGCCGCTATTTTGTATTTGCAAATTGGATTCTAAAAAAGCCCCTCCCCCCGGTAATGCGAAAGAACCAAACCGCAATCGCAAAAGCTTACTTTCTAGCGTGGTATCGCATCCAATACTCCCCGTAGGCTTCGGCTACAGCCGGGTTGACGGGCACATTCCTCAGAATATTCTGGCCGTACGGATCGACGCCGCCGGTGTCGGCGCAACTGTAGAGGTAGCGGTAGTCGAAATCATGGCCCTGGGAAAAAGGCATAAATTCCTGGGCAGTTTACTCCCGTACCTTGATATGAGCGAGTTTCACTGCGTGCGGCGGTGGCAAGGTGATTCCGTCGCGTTCGCAGTGGTCCCTCCAAAATCCGTTGTCATCGGTGATCCTCGTGAATTGGCTGCACGCCTAAAAAAGCAAATCGTTGTTCGAATTTATAACTCGAAAATAGCCAAAATTCTCTAGCAAAAAAAGGCTTTTAACGCCCACTTTCTCAGCCTCGTTGATCGTCTTGTAATTGCAGCGCTGGAAGACTTCGTACCACACCACGTCGGGCCAATCGTCGCCGGTGGGGCCGGCTGGCGTAGAAACGGACGGCTCCATGAGCTAAATAAAATTGTCAATGCTTGGTCTGAATGGAAAAGACGAGACTCCAGACGACAAAGAATAAATGAGGCTCCAGACGACAAAGCTTGCGACAAATGCCTGCTTTTGATTGTTATTATGAGCTTTATCTTGGCCCAAATGAGAGGACTTTTTGAACCACGACAGCTACGACAAGTGTCAAACATCGCAACCTATTTTCCTTACATCATCGCGGGCGGGCTAGCCGCTGGCTAGCTAAACCTAATGATTGGTCAGAATTCAAAGCGCTGATACTTTAAATTACTATTACGATGGGCATTAATCGATATCAAACCTAATACTTAACATTACAAAACACTAACTTCAAAAAAATGGTGCCGCGCGACATTTTCTAATTGCCAACAAAAGTTTTGAAAGAAAAAGGCGCCCATCCGTTTACGCGATATTAGCGCATGTGCAAAGTGGCGGAGCGTTGCCTCCGAGCTGCTTTTTGCAAAGATTCGTCTGAAAATAAAAAAGTAAAAGAAGTAAAAAACTTTCGCCGATGAACCAAAAACAAAAACTTTATTTTCACGAGATCCCAACACCGATAAATCACAAAAACGGAGCATTCGCGATTGAAATCATCACAAGATTTTTAGTTAATTTTAAATCGGGGTTGCTTAAATTTTCTTGGTCTTCTTCTCGATTTTGGGCTTCTGCGCGGCCTTCGGTTTTCGCACTTCCTTTTTGCCTTCCATCTCCTTGCGTTCGCCGTCCCCGTCCTGCTGCTCCTCAGTCGCCTTCAACATCCTCTTCATCTTGAGCTGTCGCGGCTCCTTCTTTTCCGTCGTCTTCTGCGGCGGCCGCGGCGGCTAAAACATGAATTAAGTGACTCGATCTTATCAATTCAATCGCTCCTAATGCTAGCAATCAAAATTTGCCACCTTCAGGGGGTCCGCGAGCTACAGCTTGGTAGCGCGGTCCCAGACGCACTTCCGGCACGATCCTAGGGTAAGATAGTTCCGGGCGTGAAAATAAAAAAACCCACGATCGATGGCGACTTCATCGCCCTCCCAGGTGCAACTCCTGTAGATGCGGCAAGTGTATGTGTCATTGCACACATCGTCGGGGCTGCGGCGCCTAAAGTGAGTTGATTTTTAGAAACTTCATCACGTACTCGAGGTGGTGGCGACAGCCGCCGCAAAGCAGAGAATCGCTTTCGCCCCTCAGCTTCTCCTCGGTCGTCTTGAAGCCGCACAACTTGCACTAAACCGAGGGTATATGCAGAACCAGGAAAAAACCGACGTGCAGACGGGGATCCCGCCCCGCCGCGGTGTGGGCCAGCGACGAGCTCATCTCAGCGCCGTTCAAGAAGATGTCGAGCACGATGAAGCTGACGTCGGCTTGAAGACGTGACTTGAAGTTCACGAGATCGGGCTTCCTGAAAGTACAAGATCAGGTGGTGCTGGGCTGTTAGCGGGGGGGGGATGATGAAAAATTAGCACAAAAGGTCAAAATGTTCGAATTGTCGAAATTTTTTCACATGTATGTTATAACTTCATGGCAAACCAAAGGAATAAAAGAGAGGGGAAGAGAGTGATAGCGAAAGCCTACTGGCCGCGGCGGCTGCGGCCGTCCAGACGTGGGGGCTCGCCTCCCAGTGCAGCCCGCTGCTGCTTCGATTTCTGCCTAGAAACTAATATCAATCCGAGAATTCATGCAAATTCGGAATCCATCCATTCTAGGAAGTTATAAAAATATTTGAAAAAATTTTCAAATTCGAAAATTTTGAACTTTTTGGTTATTTTTCATAAATTTTTGACAAAAAGTCAGAAATTTTCGAACTTTGTTCTTATTTTTAATATTCTCTGTTATATCTAAAGCTGTGCAGTCTGCTAAAAAATTGTTTATATTGTGCTGAGCGGTAGAGAATCAAAGGGAAAATTTGCTTTGAAGCGGCTAACTTCCCCTCCGCTAACAGTACAGAACCTACTACCTACGCACACCCACCCAGAAAGCTGCATCCGCACTGCCCAAACCAAGCCATATCGGATTGTCGAAAGTGGCTCCATGTTCTGGGCCACTGCCTTCACGCCGGTCAGCGATTCGACCATTGCCACCACCTGCATCTCGGGCATCTAAACAGCATTGAGGTCAGAATGGGTTTGTATTCACTTTACCGTCTCCCGCTCGCCCAATATGCACACATCCATCGTCGTCAATCCGATCACCACCTTCGGCTCGTCGGAGTTGGGCACTTCGGTCTGGAACTATAAAAGCAAAGAAAGATTAGAATTCTAAGCCAGGGCTAGCAAAACATCAAAACCTGCCACTTTGATGTGCTTCTCTTGAAGCACCTCGGGCAATGCTCGAGCAGCCAGGCGTTGAGGGCCTGTAATAGACTTTGAGAAACAGAGAGAGAGAGAGCGAGAGAGAGAGAGAGGGAGAGAGAGACGTGAGAGAAGGAGCGCTTACCCGCCACGGCAGCTACGGCCGTCCAGACGTGGGCGCTGGACTCGCAGTGCAGCCTGGTCCGACCGCTGCTCCGATCCTTGCATAGAGACTAATCGCAATTCGAAAATCCATGCAAATTCAGAATTCAAAGTAAAAATTCTTACATTTGCGTCGTTCTCGAATCAAAATATGCAAATCCTACCTTATGTAATTTTGGAGTGTATCTCTGTGTGTGTGTCCGGCGCGGTTTTGGGGCCCCGGAAAACTAATTTGCATAATGCGAAGAAATAGAAATTTCCTCATTCTTGAAAGTTACACTCGCAAGTGTGGTCGGATGAAGGGAGGGGTCCGAAGGACCCAAGCTATCGGAAAGTCAAATTTCTCATTCAAAGGCCGCATTCAAGCGCCCAAGGCCCGCGAAGCGGGTTTTGGGCGCTGGTATATAATTATTTGCGCACTAGTGATCTCTCTCTCGCTCTCTCTCTCTCTCTTTCTCTCTCTCTCTCTCTCTCTCTCTCTCTCTCTCTTACTAGTTCTCTATCTCTCCCGCTTTCTTTCTCTTTATCATGTATTTTTCTAGTGTTTCTATTAGCTTTTGCTAGGAAGTTATAAAAATATTTGAAAATATTTTGCAATTTCGAAAATTTTGACCTTTATTGGTAACCAGGGTTGAAAAACCGCTTCGCGGCTTTTCAACCCGGGCCCCGTCTAGGATCGATGAAGTTATTGACTTTGCATAATTCTTGCCGAAAACCGCTCACCAAAAAATGAAAAGCGCGCCCTCTCTTCCCTTTTTATAAACCATTTCCACTTCCGCCGTATGCTAATTGCTTCTTAACAAAGAGGGAAGCCAAAATTTTTACAAAAACCTAATTTTAATAGCGAAAATCGAAGTTTTTCAAAACTTTTATGTGTGTGCAGTCGATTCCGGCCCCTTCTTTACCCTATGACGTTTCTTCCCTACCGAAAAAATGCTTCCCTGAGGCTGTAGGTGCGGAACATCCAAACGGAAGTACATGCAAATATACACACACACACACACACACACACACACACACAAACACTATTTTTTTATATATAGTAGGATAGGATATAGTAGGATTTATCAGGGACGTAAAGAATCACAGGGAAAAATTGGTTTGCCCGCTAACAGTCCACAACCGAATAATCGTATTTTTCTGTGTTTTAATGTTTTCCTGTAACTGACGGTCGATGAGTACCTGGTAGTGTATTGTACTGGAGCAGGTGGCGGCGGAGGGTTTCGGAACGGTGTGAAACGCAAGCGTGAGTGCAGTCAATTTCACGTGATAAGCTTCAAAAACTTTTAAGGTCTGTGCCCGATACCAGATTTTCTGTTCGTGTTTTGCTTCTTTCGGGAATTCGCCTGTGTTCTGTACAAAGAGGTAATCCTTTATTCGCATGTGCACGAGTATCTTGACAACAGAAAGAGCGTATCGGGTTTTTTTAAATTGTTGAATTCATCATCACGCATCACGCCTCGTCGCATCAAGAAAGGCCGCTGGTCGACGGCTCGTCTGGGCGGAAGACGGGCAGGGGGGGCGATCCGCTAGCGCTGGCGACCACCACCGGCTCGACCGGCTGCAAACAAGCTTCGTCGTGAAATTTTTTGGGTAAAAGTCGGAGTTTGGGATTTGATAAAAAGACATAAGCACCTCTTGATAGTATCCCATGGCCGTCCCCTTCTGGCGAACGCACCAATGGCAACCGCCTAAAAAATGTGGTCATCTCTATGAAAACCTACGGTCAATCAGCGTTGTCGCAATTCCGAGAGCTGTCAGGCGATGGAGCTCCTGACACACGTATGAGCCGATGCAAGTCTTCAGCTGGTGTTTGGGGTGCCTGAACCGCATATTTCTATAGATACGTATGCCGGTTCGAAAACTTACAGAAAATCTCGGCAGTGCTTGCAGTAGTAGTAGTCGCCTGCCCTGCGCAAATCCTTGGCGATCGGTGGCCGGCAGCCACATAAGGCGCACTAAATCCAACACAATTAAAAAATAAAACGAATGGCCAGCTATGGTACTGGGCTGTTAGCAGGGGAGGGTGCCACATTTTCCAGAGGTCCCACTAAATCCGGCTAAATTAAAAAAAAGAGCAGAGATATGACAGATTTTGTTGCTTCCGTTCGGAATTTATTCGAATTTTCATTGTTTTCGGTTTTCAAATCCCAATTTTTCGATTCTTTGGCGGTCATTTTTCATGCGTTTTGACCAACTATCACCCCCCCCCCCCTGACAAGATGCTACGCGAAAACTTACAAAGCGCAGTTGATCCGGGTCCGCCTTCTCCGTGGCCGTCGTCTAGCCAACGACCGTGCTTCGCAGCACCAGGGGCCCGTCCACCTCGCTCTTGAGTGCGCAGAGCTTGCCGTGCGTCTCGGCCAGGCTGCTGTTTCATCCTCAACGGCCCAGGACGTGGGCACTCGGCTCGCAGGGGCCGCTAAAACAAAAGAGTTAATGAAAATAGAGACGCGAGGAGAGGGCGTGATAGAGGGAGAGAGAGAGAGAGAGAGCGCGAGAGAGAGAGCGAGAGAGAGAGAGAGAGAGCGAGCGAGGGAGAAGCATAAGCCCGAGTCTAAGCCTAAGCTCCCTTCTCTCCCCACGCCCTCTCGCTCTCTCTCGCTCCTCTTGCTCTCTAGTCGCCCACCCCCACCCCCCCTGACACGCGAAAAATTACAAATAGCTTTCGAGCCTCCTCCGCCTTCTTGAAATTTTTGCGGTCATTTTTCATGCGCTTTGACCAACTATCACCCCCCCCCTGACCAGATGCTACGCGAAAACTTACAAAGAGCCGTTGTTTCTCGTCGTCCTTCTCCGCGGCAGTCGTGTAGCCATCAACCGTGCAGCGCAGCACCAGCGGTCCGCCCACCTCGCTTTTGAGCGCGCACAAAAGTCCGTGCGTCTCAGCCAAGCTGCTGAAACGGGACAATATTAAAAACGGGTTTTTGCTATTATTTGCCTGGCCGAACCTCATTTTTTTGGGTGGATCGAAAAAATGTTTAACTCTTGGCGAAGCTTGGGGCGAAAGCGCCGCAGTCAGAAATTTTAGTGAAAAAAGCATGCTCCCTCCATATTGCCGTCGGTTCCTAGGGGCCTTTTTGAAACCTACACTCCACTGGTCCACGGCACCTGCACGACCATCATAACGGCAGTCCCATTGTTGCCGTCCTCGATCTCCTTCTGCTCGAGGAAGACGGGCTTGGCTTCAATCAGCCGCTCAATTCCGCGGCACACTTCCTGCTGCCACTCCTGAAGAAGATGAATTTCACGCTGAAGAGTCTTCCCTACCGGGTTGCCCTGTTCTGCGATGACGAACACTCTGATGGTCATCGTCTTATCGTCGGATCGCAGGGGGGCCGTTTTGCTGCTTTTCTAAAAAGGATGCGATTAAACGTTACCGCATTTTTTACTTTTTTACCGTTAGTATCGATTTCGAGTTACTATATTTCGAACGAAGATGAAAGTTGCAAAACAAATTTTAAGCAAAAGAGCGAAATTTTCGTACCAATCCGGGCACCATCTCGTTGAGCGGCAACGTCGGATTGGAGGCGACTTTCGGGACCTCGACCACCAGCTGAGGTGTGTAGGTGGCGGTCCATCCAGGCGCAACTTCGTGCTGCGGCATCGACGAGTCGATGTCGGTCGTGCTCGTCTCAGCATCGGCCTGAATTAGGAGCTAGTATTTCTGGAACAATGAGCATTTAGCGTTTTGTAAGATAGAAGGGATAGGGCTTCGATACCTTCTCCTTCGACTGGACTCATAAATTTCGTGTGAATTGATAAATTTAAAATTTTCATAAATTGTACTTGTTGAGCCTGCTGCTGCTGCGGGTAGTAGGGCTGGGGTGGCGGCGGCTTGTTCTTCGAGGTGCTCTCCGGGAACTCGGCTGGACGCGGTTCGCTTGGTGGCGGCGGGAAGTCCGCGTAGGGTGGTTCCACGGGCTGAGCAGGCTGGAAATAGCTTGTATTGAGCTTAAGCGTCTCTCTCTTTATCACTATCTCTCTCTCTCTCTCTCTCTCTCTCTCTCTCTTCTCTCTTCCAAGATACCTAACCGACCTGCTGTGGCTGGTAGGGAAGTTGCTCGGGCTGCTGCTGGAGGGATTGACCCTGCTGGCCCGACTGTTGCCCTGGCTGGAGTTGTGGAGGCGGCAGCAGACTTGTCGCTACTTGTTGCTGTTGTTGCGGCTAAAACCCAGTTATTAGAATAGAAACAAAAATAACAATAGCGCGGTGTTGCGGTACGATGTAATACGCTGGAATATGCAGACCTCTATTAGATCCGCGCTATAATATAACGCGCAACGGAGCGCTATATTATTGCCTTTTTGATCGCCACAGCTTGGCAAACACCAAATTCGACACCTTGCCTACCTGCGGGTCGACGTGGGCCCTTCACTCGCAGCCTCATGGTCGACCGCTGCTCCGATTTTTGCCCTAAAATCAAAATCAGTTCCAGCATCCATGCAAATTTTGGATGCAAAGCGAAAATTCCTAAATTCCCGTCGACCTCACATTGAAATTGTCAAATGTAAATTATTGGCGCTCAGGGTGCAAAATGATCGAGTTCCGCGCGCGCTTTCGATTTTTGCGCGCGGTCGCGGGTTTTCTTTCTTACACGAGTTTGCAAAAAGTCTAACAGAACGGTTTGTTTCGAAGAATAGGGCAAACGTGATCTCGCAGGCAGTTCCAGCTTTTTTTCGAAGCTCAGAAAGCTGGTTCCCCACTCGATCGTATAGTAAATTACTATGTATATTACTCTCTTTGCATGATAAATTTAAATTTCCGATAACTCGGTTCCTTCGGACCGCCCCCTCCCCCGGCCGCATTCGCGCGTGCCACTGGATGAATGAGAAAATTTGTATTTTTGCCATTATGTAAATTAGCTCTCCCGGACCCCAAAAATGAATAAAACCGGCTTTAGCTTTGTAAACATGTATTTTATCAAAATTCTGAGAACGCCATCGGGAAGAGGAGACTCGATTGCCCCGTGACACAGAATTATGACATTTTATACACGGGAGGCCCTCAAATCGGGCCTCGAAAGTGACAGCCTGACAAACACACAAACAAACATACATCCCAAAATTATATAAGGTAGGATGTATTTTACATTGGTTCTTGATTGTTCGAGGTATTTGTGTCAAAGCGGCAACAATAAAAATTTATTTATTCTAAGAAAAAGCTTTAAGAGGCGGATTGATTTGGCCGGACGGGGCTCGCTTGGCGGCGGTGGGAAGTTGGCGTCGGGTGGTTCCACGGGTTGGGCAGGCTGGAAATACTAAGCTGTTTTTGGGCCATTGAGAGAGAGAGAGAGAGAGAGAGAGAGAGAGAGAGAGAGAGAGAGAGAGTTAAAAAGCCTACCGGGCATCGCGGCTGCTTAATCCGCCCAGCCGCCGTGGCCCAGGACGTGAGCGCTTGGCTCGCAGGATCCTCTAAATTTGTACATTATCAAGGAGGTTCGAGCGGATGAATTAGAGAGAGAGAGAGAGAGAGAGAGAGAGAGAGAGATAGTCAAAAAGAGCCTACCGGGCTCCGCGGCGGCTTTATCCATCGAGGCGCGGTGGCCCCGGACGTGAGCCCTGGGCTCGCAGGGAGCCGCTGCTGCCGCTCAACCAACTAAAAAAATATTAGCCGCTTTTTCATTTTGCGAAGGAAATCTACTATCTACTACCAGATGGTTACAGTCGCTTCGCGACTGCAACTTATTATCTCGTTGTAGTTTTCCTAATTGATATTTATGGGTTATATTTCGTTATAGCACCATATCGACCATTGAGAAAAATCCGGTTCACACGCTGACCCACTCCCCTCCCCGCTAAGAGACATGTAGCAAAACGTTTCTTAGCATCGACATCTTATACTAACAAACGCGTACCTGCTGACCAACGTGTTGAGGAACTTGTTGCTGCCGCTGAGGAGCCGTAGGTGGAGGAGGTGGCGAAGGGGGCGGTGGAGGCGGCGGGGGCGGTGGAGGCGGCGGGGGCGGTGGAGGCGGCGGGGGCGGTGGAGGCGGCGGAGGCGGTGGAGGCGGCGGGGCGGTGGAGGCGGCAGGGGCGCCGGCGCTTCGGGGTGTTGCAGCTGAGGCTCCCGCTGCTCCAGAAGCTAAAAAAATTGGCTCTTTTTCCATTTTGATAAGTTTACCTTTTGGACCGGTATGTACAATCCATGCCCAGGAGGGCATGAGAAGTACTTCACGCCCTTCACCTCGCCACCGTGCCGGCCGACGCGTCCGTGGAATTGCACTCCGGCGTAGCGGCCCTTCGCCCACTTCACTTCTCCCACGTACTTGATAATGCCGATGTTGCCTTCTATAACAAAGATATTTATCCAAGCCCATTAAACAAAATTTTTTAGAAAAGGTTTACTTGACTCCCCTCACCCTGAAGAAGAAGAGCTGTTTGAACAGAATGAACAGAATGTTCGAAAAATCCAAAAGTGTTTATTTTAGATCCATAAAGTTGCGGCCAGGAAAAACCCCGGGGTAAAGCCTAGAAAACGTCTCCCCTCCCCAGCCCCAGCCCCACCTCCACAACCCTACGTCCTCTTATTGGGCCGAGTATGTCAATATTTTTGCTATGCATTCGAGTTTTTACACTATAGATTATCAACAGGTATGTTTCGGTCGAAAAACACCCAGGAACCTTTTCGTTTTTGACCAGTAGATCATTCCCATCCGACCGAATTTTGACTTCCGGGTCCCTTTAACCCTTGATGTGGCTGAACTCCAGAGAGAGTGAAAGAAAGAGATCGTCAAAAAGAGCCTACCGGGCTCCGCGGCAGCTTTATCCGTCCCGCCGCGGTCGCCCAGGACGTGAGCTCTTAGCTCGCAGCGTCCTCTAAATTCGTATAATTGAAAAATTGAGGAAAGGGAGGATGAGGTACAGAGCGAGAGGGAGGGGAGAGGGAGAGAGGGATAGAGAGAGAGAGAGAGAGAGATCGTATACCTGCGGGTCGACGTGGGCCCTTCACTCGCAGCCTCATTGTCGACCGCTGCTCCGATTTTTGACTTGAAATTAAAACCAATTTCAGAATCCATGCAAATTCGGGATGCAAAGTGAAAATTCTTAGATAAGCGCTCCATTCAAATTAATGAAAATATGCAAATGCCGCAAAAATTCAAACTTTTGCCACTGTTCCGGTTGGGCCTCGCTCAAGCTCGTGGTTCTTTTCCGGTATCGGGGGACCGACTTTTTCCTATGAGTCCAGAAAAGTTTAGTAACGTAAAAGTCTGCATTTTAATAGGGTTTATAATAAATTTAACTATTCTTCAAGTGGAAAACTATAAAAAAAAACTTAGAAACATTTTTAGGTGAAGTTTTAGTCGAAAATCGGCGAAAAATCGTTATTTTCTGTATTTTTTTCATCAAATTTGTAAAGTTTTTACGTTTATCAATGTTAAAAAACAGCTTAGGCAGTTATCTTCAAAATCCCGACCTCAAAAATCGTTTCTACCCTAGTCAAATTGATTTATAGCTGTTTTGGAGGCTGGCGGTTTCTACTCGCGAAAATTCATTATTTCACTTCTAATTTACTCTTTCCGATATTCGTGCCCCTGTTACCCGGGCTAAATCTTGGTATTGAGGAGCACCGTCTGACGCGTAGATCCCTATCTGGCGCCCTCTTTCCCCCCGGTTTTTGTGCCCGTCGGCAACATCCACGCGGCTGGGGCGCGTATCGACGCGGATCGGCGCTTCAGCCTCGCGACTGCTTGCGATGATCCTTGCTACTGGTCTGAAGCCCGAGGCTGTGCTGGTTGGGTTGTTGGGATGGATCGTGCCGTACTTATTGGTAAGTTAAAGTTGTCGGAAAGTCATTACTAGCCACTTTTTTGAATTTAGAAATAGCATTAGATTTTTGAAAATTGTCAGAAATCGAGTAGGACGACAAAATTTGGCTACATAAAATCGACTGTCCCCATAATCACTTTCCAGTTGGCCAATTACCTCGAGCGCTCGTTATTTCCATTTCGAGCCTATTGCTACACCCAATCAGACTTATTGTCGGAGAAGCACCATTTGGAAAGCCTCGAACACTGCGTCGATCGATACCACTATCCCAGGTTGGTCAGGAAAGTAATTTTTCAAGCAAATAATTGTATTTAGGAAAGCAGATCCAAGTTGTCGCCTAAATGTCGCCCCAGGTACCCTAATCGAGCCGAAAATTGTCGGGAAGCCTAAAAAGGTGGGAAATTCATTTGCTCTGTTTCTCTCTCTCGCTCTCTCTCACTTTCTCTCTCTCCGGCTGAAAAACCGATTTTTACACTTGCAGATCGCAGTTGTCCGCTCGGCCCCTAACGCCCCAGACTACCGTAATTTCATCCGGGCCACCTGGAAAAAGGACTTTGTCGGAATCCCCGTCGTTTTCTTGGTCGGATTACGCGATGGTACGGACTTACGCGCAGAAGCCGAGGAGCACCAAGACATTTTGCAGTTCAACTTCACCGACGGGTACTTTGTGCTCGGGTATAAGGTATGGGAAGCGTTTATAGGGTTAGGATATATCTTTAGATGACGTCGACATATGAATACTTTTTGCGGCTGGTACCCGATTTGGAGGAGATTATCGTGCTGAATGACGATACGATTGTTAACGTGGAGGCGCTGGCCAAGGTAAGTAAGTCCCATTCCTTTCAAATTTGGTTTTATTAATTTTCATAATCTTTTTACGAAAAAAACGGCTTAAATCAAGTGTATTTTCTCATCTGAATTACCGTTTTAAATTCGTTTTTAATATTGGCAATTGTTGTTTTTACGCCTTTTAAAATTCACGTATGTAAACATCGCACTGTCGTCGTAGTTCTAGTTTTCTCGTTGTTATTTTTCGAGATTCAAAGTATTATAATCAGGGATTCTGGCTATGAAGATTTGTCTGAAGTCGTTAATCGCTATGATTTATGAAACGAAATTCCTGTATCCAATGATATCTAAGTAATGCTATTTATAGGCTCTACTTTTTAGCTTCCTCGCCAAGCTCCAGCCGAACCCTGGGTGATCGGAAAGGTATCTCGGGGATACCCAAGGCTGTGGATGCCGTGGTTGACGTGGCACGTCGGCGGGGATGTCTACCCGAATCTTTGTTATCCCAGATTTGTACAGGTAACTGCTATAAAATTACGTTTTGCAGCCAAATAATTTTTAGGGCTCGTCCTTCATTATCTCTCGAGGGGCCACCAAGTCGATTTTGGCAAATATTTGTCGATTTCCATGGATACATTTGGGTTGGTCGAATCGTGAAAATAGGCGATAAATGAGAGGCAGCGAGTTTGAGAGAGAAAAAGGAGAGAGAGAGAGAGAGAGAGAGAGAGAAGATAATAAAAGATGCAGCGAGCTAAGGTCAAAATCCGTCATTTGAAACACCATGTTGGTCGAAACCAAGTAGTCTATTTTTTGTCTTCATAATCCCTTTAAAACCAAAGTTTTTTTTACTATTTTCAGATGATATCCACCTGGGGGTAATGTCCTCCTGCCTCAACATCAGGCTCCTTCACGAAGAAGGCTTTGACCATCACACCTTTGACAATTTTGTCGTTTTTCACTATCAATATTCACGATATACAGCAGCTTATTTGAAAGGGTTGTGGCGGAATTCACGATTCGGGCAGAAATAAATAAATAGGCTTAGATTTTGCAGGAAAATTTGGGGAAAACACAAAAACACCGGAGCCCGTTTCCCCAAGGGTCTCTGGAATTATGTATGCTTCCCTCAAAATGTCTTCCTATCGAAAAAGGACTTACAGGAGTCGATTTTAGGTGATCTTCAGGCCGGCACTTTGATTTTCGAAAACTTCCCAAAAACCTTTGCTAGCATGCAATTCTTGGACATCGATTTTTGGTAAGACTCCAGATAACCCCCCCCCCCCCCCCCGCCCAGCCAGCTCGGCCCCCATAGGTCCTATTAGTGCGCCGAGTATCTCAAAATGTTCGCCGTGGTCTAAAACCTAACGGAAAGTTGTTTAGTTCCCTCAAAAATCGCTATAATTTTTTTTATAAGAATTATAAGTCTGGGTCGCCTGTGTTAATTTTTCCTGGTCCGAAGTCGAAATTTGTATCTCGGCTCTAGTTTGTCGTACACGGCTGGTAAGGGTACCAAAATGTAGCTCTCGACCTGGAAAATACGAAAACATTTCATTTGGGTCGAAAAATTCACGAAAAAAGACGAAAATCGACGTCGAAAATTTTAAGCTTGGGCTTGTATAAAGTTTTGCGAAAAAATTATATAAAAAATTTTCCAGCGATTTTCGGCGAAACCAAACAACTTTCCGTTAGGTTTTAGACCACGGCGAACATTTTGAGATACTCCGCGCATTAATAGGACACATGGGGGCCGAGCTGGCTGGGGGGGTTATCTGGAGTTTAGCCCGATTTTTTGATTCAACCATGAGGTTGATTTCTGCATTTACAGAATTTCTTGAGAAATCTCGGCTAGCTTACTCTGTTGATGGAGGTTTTAAGAGTCCTCTCTTGTAATTTCCTCAAGAATCGCGGCTAGCTCGCCCTAATATTGGAGCTTTTCGGGTATATTTAGGGCTCAGAATTCCTCAAAAATCACTACCAGCCTGCCCTGGTCAGACAATTTTTTAGAGTTGAAATAATGGGAACAACTATGATTAAAGTTTGACGAAATCAGATTTGTAGAAACACCAAGGATCACCGCCAGTTTGCCCCCGCTACAAACGGCTTCGAAGCTGTTTTAAAGGTTAGTTGTAGCAATAAATGGATTCCCAGCCTAATTTTTACCCCACAAAGCTCCTGAAATCTCTGGATCAAGACCCCAAAATGACCAATTATCCCCGGCGACGAAACCCGTGTCGGACCTTTTCTCCAAAATTTCGGGCGGCGATGGCCATAAATCGGGAAGCAGGGGCCAGCAGGTTTTGCGGTCCCTTTAAAGGGCCCCGAAAGCGGGAACGCTGGCAATTATGAGACAGGGAAGGCTATGGGCGTGACGCAACATTGGACGGTCATGTACCCGTCACCAAAAGGACAGCCGATTTAGCCAGGTGCGCACATTATAGCGAATGGGGGGATAGGCCAGCCGGGAGTCTTGACTTATTGCCCCGCGGCGACCCGATGTGACCTGCAGATAAGGTTGAACGTCTTCAAGACGTGTAACAAAGGTTTTACTTGAATATTGATGTCGACTGACTTCGACGACTTCTACAACGCGGTCCACGACTTCGACAAGTCGAACGTCGACTAAGGTTGCAAAATTCGTCAAAGTTCCTCCTCAAAAATCCTACTAGCTGGTGGTGCTTAGTTTGAAGCGTAAAAATCCCCGTTTCTTCCTTTCCTAAATTGAGCTCTGAATACTTAGGAAGCAGGCAAACCAGCAGAAATTCTTTGAGAATCTGGGTTTTTCGTAAAATTTCAAAAAATTTTACTTTTGATTGCATACAGAAAATTTATCCACAGATCCGCTAGCAGAGGATTCTTTTGGATAGCCAAGAAAATTCAGTGGATTAATTTCAGTCTTTGGGTCTTTAAAACTAAATGTTATTAATTTTTCGTTGTTTTTACGCTAATTAGAGTTTTCTTATGTAAATACCCAAATAATCGACTTCGAAGTCCCTTTAAAGCCGCAATACCAAAAAAGAAGCCGAAATGCCACAGGCAACAATTTCCGACTACGCCTAGCTACCGTACCCCATCGGCACCCTTTGAACCGGTTACGCACCCCAGATCCGGTCAAAATATTGCCACAGGTCAAGCGTGAAGCGGTGCTAATTACGGGGCATTCCAAGATACCCCCTGCCCACCTGTACCGTCTACAGGAGCCGCACGGATTGGGCGCTAATTGAGGGCAATGGGGAAATGTTGTGATTGCACAACTCGTGGCGGTGGATGGGCCTTCTGAAGGGCCGGGAGTTAATCCGGAAATTGGCGAGGCCAGGGGCAATGTTACCTTATGACCGGGGGGGGGGGCATAAAAGCGTGCCGATGGTGGCAGGAAATGCCTGAGGCGTTGAAGTGTCAAAATAGAAGTTACGGAAGAGGCTTACTGTATTTGCCCAAATTCGACTAGAGTGAATTTGTCTAATAAATTTGAACTTTGAAACAAATTTGAAGCAACTTTCTACCGTCTACTATCTCTCTCTCTCTCAATACCTCTCTATCTCTCTCTACCTCGCTCTCTCTCGCTCTCGCTCTCTCTATCTCGCTCTCTCGCATTTTCACGCTAAAAATTAGACGCATTCATACCTATTCCCCCTCCTATTATTCCATATATTCCTTAAAGGTCTCGAGAAGTCAGGGTAGATCTACCGTACTCTCATCTCTCCTTCTCCATCATTCCCTTCCCCAGGGCCCCCGCTTTCGCGCCAGTGGCCGTGTTTTTGGTTTTGCACGACGATCTAGATACTGTCAAACGTCAGTAGTGGGCACGATCGTGGGGGCGGAGGCAAAAAATGGTGTGCCACTGGCATGGTCCCGGTGAGAAGGAGGGAGGTGGACCCGTTTCGAATCTGCGCACAGATGGCCGGCGCAAGGTCGACAACGTCGACAAGAGGGCAGACAATCGAGGATTCGCCTCATTTTCACCTTCTTTGTGGCTCGCCGTCTCTCTCTTTCTCTCCCTGTCTCTCTCTCTTTCTTTCCCTGCCTCTCTCTCTCGTTCACTCCATCGCTCTCTCTCCCTCCCGCCTTCTCAATTGACAGCTATATGTTTATGACTGTTGGTGACGGGAGATTTGGAGGAGACGGGCGACACGCGAGGAGTCGAGGGCTGAGATACCGTACCCCGAGCATAGAAAATTGCTAAAAATCAGCCAAATTTTGACGACTGAAGCTAGTTATTGACAAGCTACAATAATAGGAGTTGGGGCGAACAAGAGTACGAGAGAGAGGGAGAGAGAGCGATTGAGAGATAGAGAGAGAGAGAGAGAGAGAGAGAGAGAGAGGGAGAGAAAGAGATATGGTGACACGAGAGAGAAAACCTTACGAAGAGTTGGCGAATCTATTTAAAGACATTTGGTGGTAAACTACCCCGCCATTACAGTATCTCAACAGGCTACCGCACGCTTATAGAATTTAAAAAAATTCTTGCCATCCGCTACTTCCTAGGTACTGTAGCTCCCGGCTTCCGAAATCTCTTAAAGTCAGGCTTGTTTCCAGACCCTTTAAGACGCCCCCTAATAGGGAGAACGGAGGAAACAAAGAAATCTGAAGGCTACGCTGCCATGGCTTTCAATGCAAAAAAAACAGCCAAAAAAAGTTAATGGCCAAAGCTTGTCGCCGGGTTCTCAAAAACCGGACGCCCGGCATCTTAATTACCGTAGCGCCCAGAGGAGCACGAGCGGCAAATAGCAAAAAACCAAGGCGTCGATTAGTTTTTGTCGTAGCCGAGGCGGCCAGGGTAAAGGAGCCGGGGCACCTGAAGTTGGTAGGAGGGGGGCGCTAAAGAGCTGGTGCTCCTCACCACGCAGATTGGGAGAGTTGATAGCCGGCACGCGTCCCGGCCCCCCTGGAGACAACTCGATTTATGGCTGGGGGCACACTTTAGGGGTCTATACATACAGAGAACCTGAAGCGCGGCTAGTAGGGCACCAGCACTCCCGGTCACTCTCTCACTCACTACCACCCTGAATTGCCCTTGTTTCTCGGGGATTTTCGGGCGGAAAGGGTGCACTTTAGCAAGCCACTGAACGTTTATACGGACTTTGAGAACCGACCGACTTAGGGCGTCCGGACTTTTAGAACAACTTGCCTGGTCTGCACTCGTTGTGAACTTTTTGGGAGTGGCCGTTTTTAGTGCAACTCCACGGATTATGACTGCGAAACCCGGTTTTCAACCGAATTTAATCCTGTCTTTTGGACTGTGCGATTTCGTATAATTTTTATGCTTTTAAAAGCATCAAAATCCGAAAAAGTCCAAATTATCCTCATTTCTCCCATAAAACACTGAATCTTCATTTTTTCCCTTTTCAATTTTTTCACATAAGCCTTCCGGTAATAAAATTTTTTACGCTAATTTTTCCAGCCATTTTTTTGAGAATTTTTGATGCAAGCACATACCTAAGATAAGAATAGCAATTACTAAAAACTTCTGGATTTTTGTTAAAATTGTGCGATTTTGGCCAAAAAGTTAATATTTACAAAAATAGAAATGTGGCAAAATCTTCAATCGCGTCCTAGAACACCATAAAATGCATAATTATTCAATCTCAATCCTGAGTGACTTTCAAAAATGTCGCAACTTCATACTGCTAAAATTTCAGAAAAATCACCCGGAAAAATTTGGATATGACGAATTTCGGCATTCTAATGGCAAACCCAATACTGTAGGTAATCAAAATTTCAGCTAAGAACCTTTGGCTCTCTTTAAAAACACCGTTTTCCCTGTCTTGGTCACTTTCCGAACCTTGGCTTGGTGTTCTAACTCTGTCGGTAGGTGGTACGTTTAGGTACGGCGTACGCGTCCTCAATACACTGTTTTTGTATCTCGACTCCCTCCAAAAACCGAAAAGCCCCCTCGGCAAGCCCATGGCCCTATCAGGGCCTCAGATCTGGTCATGGCCGATTATCGCGCGGGGGCTAGCTGCGCGTGCAACACTGCCGTGTTGATGGATTGCATCGGCCATTATCTAACCGGACAGTATGGTGACAACATGGCGATTGTATGGACACACAGACACACAGAAAGACAGACATCCCTGGAGACAGTCACAGATCCAAATCACGATCCCCCGGGGCACAACACCAACCGTGAGATAACAAGCTAGCTACCCGGCTAGCTAGCTGTCTCTCACGCGTACGTTACGCAACTTTCCAAATGACTTTTGGGATTGAGACGGGGGAATGCGTAACCGGGGTGGGTTACGGAAATTAGAGGCTAATCAGAGGCTCACGGGAGGTTTAAAGGGACTTGGAAGGCAAGAATATACCTTGAGGATTTATGGATTTTAATTCTGCACTAAAAACCTGATATTTTCTTATTTCCACGTTATAAGAGAAGTTTTCAAAGCTGTATTAAAAACTCCGCTTTTGTGACTACCATAGACCACCGTAATTCTGAATGTTTTTGAGGACCTCTATAGTACTACCGTAATCTTACCTCAAACCCCTATGAGAGCCTTAAGCTTTTTCAGGGTATTATAGAACTTCAGAACTATCATAAAAAATGAAAATTGAAAATTTGAAATTGAAATTGAATTTAAGATAATTTTTAGATGTTTTAAAGGATTCCCTATCACCTGTTCGAAAATCACCTGTTCGAAAATCATCTGTTCGAAAAATCATCTATTCGAAAAACGTCTGTTCGAAAAGTCATCTGTTCGAAAAGTCGCCTGTTCGAAAACCGTGTGTTCGAAAATGGTCATTTTTTGGTACTATTTCTATGCAATTCCACATGCAAATTTTTCGAACAGATGATTTTTCGAACAGGTGTCTTTTCGAACAGGCGATTTTCGAATACGTGATTTTCGAACAGGTGATTTTCGAACAGATGATTTTCGAACAGGTGATTTTCGAACAGGTGAATTTCGAACAGATGATCGGCCACCTTTTTAAAGGGGTCGGGAAGTCAAATTTTCCAGATTCCCGTCGTAAACTCGCAATTCCGTCAAAGTTTCCCACTGAAAACTGACAAACTACCGTAATCTGCCATATCTTTAAGATCTGCCTCGAAAACTTTATCCTATACGGTGACCGCAAACGCAGGAAAGTCGCGTGTATAAGGTCAGGCCCGCCATGGAGTTGGTATCTGATGGAAATCTACCTCAGCCAGCCCCAAGTAACCATACCGTATAGGGAATCTCTCTCTCTCTCTCTCTCCCTCTCACTCACTCTCCTTAAAAAACGATTCAGCCTCAGTGGCGGTGGGGAGGAGGAGCCAACTCAAACCACCGGAATACGGTACCCATTCCACACCGCTCCCTCATTACCAATGCCCGCCCATACCCCTCATCCCGCCCCCCATCATGACAGTCATTACCTAGACCCCCAAAATCTGCTTTGACCCGCTAATGGCCCCTCGTGGGTCCCCCGGCAATGAATATTTGAACGGTCATACCATTACTGTGTGATTTTTGTAAGCCTCGGGAGTTGAATTTAGCTCGAAAACCAGGGGGGTTTTTTCAATGAAAAGTGTGAAAATAGCAAATACGCAAACGCAAAACGCAAATTCTGATCGTTTACTTGGTCACATTGTTCTGATTTTCTTTTTCTAGCTCACAACTTGATATGTTGACTTTTTCTATGCTATTTCTTTGAATTTTCAGGGTATAGACCAATTGCAAAATCGGCTTTGTGTGTATTGCTTTTCCTTAAATTTTCCAAAATAACAAATTCATTATTCTACTAGACTTTGAAAAGTTTAAACATAAAAATTTCTTAGTAAAATTCAGAAACAATTTCTTTTTTTACTTAATCCTTTTAACAAATTTCAACAAAAAGAGTGGAAATTTATTGGAATTTAGCAGGCACCCTAATTTTCATATTTCAAAAACGAAATATTGTAGCAACATTTTATCATCCCAAAAATTGCGCCTTTTTTTGGTGTCGTAACTCCCTTTTTCTAAAATTGTTTTCTCCCATTTTCTACATTTTCTAACCTAAACCTTCTCTAGAAAATGGCCACCTGGGACCCGTGCCATGGGCCGTTCTTTATGCAATCGTCCTCGCTGGCAAATTCCTCAGTTCACTCCCACTATCATCAACAATCCCAGCAGAGTCCCTTGTTTCCGACGCCGATTACGAGTCCGACGTTTTCAGGGAATAATTAGTAAGTTTTGACAGCTTAATTTTAATGTTGCGATCAGCAAAATCAACCTAAAATTCCACAATAAAGCCAGCCGTGACAAGCTAATTTTGATCTCATTATAGCAAGAAATAAATGCTAAAACAATACGGAAATAATCCATAAATTTCTTTATTTTTAGCTACGCCCCATGCAGCTCGGCGCCGCTGCAAAGCCAAGACCAAAATTCGCCGCAGGACGAGCCGAGAAAGGTAAGTCAAAACAGCCATCAGCTACAGTTCATTGAAAACAGACGATTTCCTAAACTTTAAATCTATTCTTAAGCTATAGCAGCTCAAAAGTTTCCTAATTCCAGTCGACCCGTACGCGCCGATACAAAACACCCTCGCCCCAGCTTTTGCGCGTTCGGAGGAATGCAGCGAATGAGAGGGAGCGGAGAAGGATGTCCATGTTGAATACGGCTTATGATAAGGTATGGGATTTTGCTGTATTACTCTAATGGAGTCTACTGTTTTAATACGAAAAAGATCATTTAAGTGCCTCATATCGTACAGTCTAGGTATCTAGCACATATCAATTCTAGTGTAAGCCGAAATGAGAAACGCTATCATTAATGCACCTACAGGATTTCCTCGCGCTTACATTATTTACGTGACTTTTACCTTGACTCGAAATAAATAAATAGCAAACAGAAATCTACTAGCAAAACTTTTGGCAAAATGCCAAGGTCACCGAATTTTCGCCAACATGGTGGGAAAACTCCAGATTTTTGTCTTAAATCAAAGAATTTGAGCAGATTTTGTTTTCTTGTCAAACCCTTTAAACGGATTGAAAAAGGCGGAGTACAATTAGGCCACCGTACAATCCTCATTTACAGCTCCGCACCGTACTCCCGGAAATGGACTCTGGCCGGCGCCTATCCAAATTTGAGACCCTCCAAATGGCTCAGCAATATATTCAGAGTCTCTCAAAGATCCTGAAATCCCCACAACATTAAATTCTATTATTTGCTTGCAGAATGCTATAGATTCTTACTGTAATTGTGATCGTTTTTTATGTTATTCTTATTACGGTGTAACCTTTTTACTACCATTATTTCTGGCTCAACGTGTCGATTCCCCCAAAAAAGCTCCAACGTGCCCGTGACAACGTTTTTCCCATGAAGCTTTCCTCATTGATCTCATGCCCCATTTTGGAAATTTTTATTCTACAATTGCAAAGCTAAATCTATTCAAATACGTTAAATTAACTCTAGAAATTCGCAGAAACCAGTTTTTTTCTTGTTCAATAAACCATTAAATTTTCCCGAAAAAGGGACGTGCGGTGCATCGTAGTGTACTGAACTAATAAAATTTATGCGCTTTCGTCTTGTTATGGGATACATAAATCTTGAATCGAGGAGACGAGCTTCTCAAGCGGCTCATCAACGGGGGCAACGCCACGGCCATCGAAGTCGACCTCAGGCTCATCGGCAGCAACAATGTGTTCCGGCTGAAGAAGTTCGGGCGCCTGGAAAATAAGACATTAAAACGCCCTAAATTCAATAAATACTTATATATTTTTATCCTTATTTATATTTACGGCTAAGATTGTTTATCTTCGATTTATACCTGCACGGCTGGCTGCTGTGACGGTGCCTCTTGTGGTTGCTGCGCATCCGTCGGTCGGGTCAACACCTAAACGAAGTGGGCGCCTCAATTCGATGTGGGTGAAGTTTACCTTGTCCAGGGGGCCATCCATCGATTCTTGGCCGTCACCGTTTGCTGGCCCGAGTCGGTGGAGATGTTGATATCCACATTCGGCACGGCATAATCGGCCATGATCAAGTCGAGCTCGTCTCCGCCGCACTCCTCGATCTGCTTCATCGACTTGTAGACGATCGGGTCGACCGTCGCCAAATCGCACGGGCCGATGAGGTGCGCCTTCCCGATGAGGTACTTCATCACAAGCATGGAGACCTTCTTGAGACCCCGGTGGGTATGTCGCGCTGTTGGAGCCAGTGGCCGAGGGCACGCTCCCCGCCGAAAGCGGTGAGGTGAGCGTACGGGGCGTTCCGGGCGATCCACTCGATCCAGGTGGAGAGGCCTTGGGCGGCGACGGAGAGGAAGTCGGCGAGTTGGCGGTTCACTTTGGCGTCGAGCTTCTTGCAGACGAAGGCATCTTTGGAGGCCGATCGGGAAGGAGCGTTCGGGCCAGTAGACTGTTATAGGAATTCTATAAAAAGTCCAAAAATAAAAGAATTATTTTCAAATTGTAGAAAATTTAAAACCCGAAATTCTGGGAATATTAAAAATAAAAAAACCCTTTTCGAATTTTAAAAGAAAATTTTCCAAAATTAAATTGCTAAAAATCTCTTAAAACCGACTGGTCGATGTAATGGAGCAGCGTCAACATGCCGAGAGCGGGCACGAATTGCGGCGCTTCATCATGGTCTTCTCGAAAACGCGCTTTCCCTCCAGGAATTCTAAAAAAAAGAGAGTTAATTTTTCAGCGTCACCAAGGAGTTCAGAGGTCAAAATCGTCAACAAAAAACCCACCAGCAACAAGCGTGACTCCGCTGGCCGTCGGCAGGGTGGTGTGCTCGTCGGGGGCGTGGGACAGCTCCTCGCGGATGCGCTGCTCCAGCGACATCTTGTGGTCGACGTGCCGCACAGGGTTGCCGCTCTTCTTCGGCCGGTAGTGGAAGTTGTGGGCCGTGCCGAGGATGCGGCCAATGTCGTCGGGCGAGTTGGCGAGTAGAACTTCGAGCAGTACTTGTTCTTGGCCGATGACGGTGCCGTTTGAGGTCAACAGCTCGATGTCCATCGATTGGTAGTTGCCGCTCTAAAAACCGCGTTTTCCAAGATAGTAAAACAAAAAATAAAAATCCAGGAAAGAAATCCAACCTGAGAGTCCTCCTCCTCTTCCGAACTGCTCGACTGGCGAATCGGCAAGCGGTTCTTCACCACCGAGTAGATGTACTTCATCGTCACCAGGGCATCCGTTTTGAAGGTGTTGCTCTGCGGTGGGTCGCTCGAGTCGACTTTTGGATGGCGCGACACGGTGATCTGGAAAAATTTGTTATAGGAATAAAAAGAGAAAAATAGCAAAATCCATTTTTATGCTCCAAAAACCCACCGTAACGACATGTTTGCGGAAATACCGCAACGCCTGCGCTCCATCGAACTGATCGGAAATCGACACCGGGAACGCCTCGCACAGGTCGACGGCGAAACGATGCGGATCAGCTGGTTGAGGTGCTGTTGCCGGTCGGCGCTGTCAATCTTCTGCAACGAGGCGATGATCAGCGGGACGACGTGCATCACGCCGCCGTCGGCCATCCACTTCAGGATCTCTTCGGCGAGGCCGCTGTGCAACAGCTGATTGGGCGTCAAGTTCTGTTGGGCCAGGTGAAGGAGGTCCTGGAGATTGTTGGTATATAATAAATCGTGAATATAGAAAGAGAGAGCGAGAGAGATAAGGAAATCACAAAATTACCTTAAAGAACGTGCTGGGGATGAGGTCATCCTTGCGATCCCGAATCGAGGAGACGGGCTTCTCAATCTGCTCATCAACGGGGGCAACGTCGCGGCCATCAAAGTCGACCGCAGGCTCATCGGCAGCCACAATGGGTTCCGGCTGAAGAAGTTCGGGCGTCTGGAAAATAAGACATTAAAACGCCCTAAATTCAATAAATACTTATATATTTTTATCCTTATTGATATTTACGGTTAAGATTGTTTATATTCGATTTATACCTGCACGCCTGGCTGCTGTGACGGTGCCTCTTGTGGTTGATGTGCATCCGTCGTTCGGGCCAACACCTAGACGAAGTGGGCGCCTCAATTCGATGTGGTTGAAGTTTACCTTGTCCAGGGGGACGTAGGCGCCGTGCGATGGCGCACACCGAAAATAACGCACGCCTCGCACCTCTCCCGAGTGCTTCCCGACCTTCTCGTCGTAGACCAGGCCCGCAAAGACTCCGTCAGCGAATTGCACGAGGCCGATGTAAGCGATTTTGGCCCATCTTTCGTCTATAAGCAAAATATTTCGATCGCAGGCTATTCAGAGAAAAAAGGAAAAAAGGTACTCATCCGGAGGCATTCAAGAAGCGAAAAGAGAAAAGCCAGCCTCGCAGTTGTCAATCCAGAACTTTATTGAACCTACTGTATTGCACGCGCGTCCCGAGCATCATTTTTCGAAGTCTTGCAATTTCCGTAGTAGTTGCTTCAGCAGCCGGTCCGCCGCGGCCATGGCGGCGCATCATCTAAAAAACAGGTTTCGGTGCTTTCGTATTATCCACGGGACGTATCAAAACAAATTTGAATATCTAATTAGCGCAAAAACAGCATCAATCCAGAAACCAACCAACGATGGCCGCTAAGCCGAGAAAAAGGGAAATGAATCCCGGTGTAATTATCATCATGTGGAGAGATTTGAATGAAAGTTTGGCATTTCTGGTTTATTCGAATTTTGTCTTCATAATTGTGCCATGCTTTTCTCGGCATTTTTTGGTTGGAGCTATGGTTCGTGAATTTCCAGAAGTTGCATACGTCTTTTCATACGCCATACATTCGTACATTCATGTACAGTAGTGGTCAATAGCCTATCATCCCGATTTTTCTGCGTTCTAGGGCGCTTTCCCAGAAATTGTGCTTCAGAAACGATTGGCGTGGCAAACACTTTTTTATGAATTTTCGGGTACGGGTCCGTCAGATAGCTCGTTTGAAAGTGCAGATGTTTCTACCCAAGCACAGGGACGTAGCGTAATACCGGCCCCGGGGCCAGGCCCCCCGAAATCGGCCGGGGCCCGAAAATTTCATAAGGGGGGACCCTTATGATTTTCATTTTCTCAAAAATTTTTCTGCCTGCGGCGCTATTTTTTCACTTTTTTACGGTTATTTGCAGAGCTATGTAACCTTTTTTTCAAAAAATTTTGCCTGCGGCGCTGTTTTCTCTTTAATGTTTTCTGTTTTTTGGAAAAAATTTTTGGGGGCCCCCCCCGAAATTTTTTTCTGGCTACGCCCCTGCCCAAGCATATCGTTTATGCTGATCCAGAAAGGCTTCTACAAGATTTTTAGGGGGATTGCAATTTGTTAATTCGGCTTTCATTTTTGATTTCATTTCGGGCGTGTTTCATTTTTCTGAAACTGCGCTCCTCCACAAATTTGGCAAACAGGTTGGGAATCAGAGAAAAATCCACGCAAGATAGCTTAGGTCCGAAAAGGAATTTCGAAAAAACTTACAGTAAGGAGGCCAGAATTCGAGAAATTTTCTTTTGTATACAATCAGGCTTCAGGAGAATTTTTGTAGACCTCCATCGCCAGCGATTGATCGGTAACATTATCCTAGGTTCGGCTAGCATCCATGTTGTCGTATCCAAATTGTGATCTAAGAAGTCAGCCCGCGCTGCATTCGAGGTGTTGCCCCAGGTACGTGGCCCTTTTAAAACATGTTTATTCCTTGCGCAGAGCGTGTAATGAAATGCACACGGCACGTGTAATCATGTAAATCAATCGAAATGGGGTAAAACAAGTAATGGAGGGGACGAGGCAACGAGGGGGAAAGCGGTAGCAGGCATTTTTGGACGGTACCCAAAGTGTGCGGCGAGTAACGGGGTCGAATTACGATAAAGGTATCGGACCGTAGAATCGTGCAGAATTCCGGGGAGAGCTAACATGAATTTAGAATTTCTTGGCGACTAGGGGCGAAGCGTGGTAGATGAACAAGCCGAGCAAATAGGTGGACTGGATTCTTGGGTTGGCGTGGAACACAGAGCTTTGACGTTTTTGGTGTATTTCGGAGGTTTTAGGTGGATTTTTAACGATTTTCGAGCTTTTGAGGTAAAATTTTGGAATTCAAGTTCAAATTTGTGTTTTTGAACCGGTTTTGAAGCTAGAATTTGGAAAGTTAGGGTGAAATTGATGCCTAGAAATTGGTTTCTACAATTTTAGAGCTCGAAAAACGCCTAAAAACTCCCAGAAAACCCGGAAATCAAGAACAAGCCACTACTAGAGACGATGACGACGCGTGGGTGGGTTTTCGGAGCCGACTTGTTGCGGGGGAAAGACGAGCGCGAAAGTGGGGGAAAGAAAGGGACGAATTTCTACTCGAGACAACAAATCGATAAGTGACACTGGGCGAGGGGCGTAAAATAGTGACGATAAAAGTTCTAAATTCAGGACCTGAACTCGACGGTGGCGTTGGGGGACCCTAGATATCCACAAGTACATATCTTTACATGCGAGAGACGAGACAGCCCGCGAAAAGGACCGTCGAAAGCGCACAACAACAAGCAGTACAAGGCGGATTTATGTGTGACACGGGGCATTTTTGGGCTGCAATTTGTGTACATACCATAAGAAATTGGGGGCGAAAAGAAGAAGAAGAACTGGTAGGCCATGTGAGCTGGGACCCGGATTCAGGGGGTAGGGGAACCCGTAGGGGATGGATGGGGGGGGATCAAGACGGAACAATCAATGCGAAGGGGAGCGAGTCGAAAAGGGACCGTAGTGCTGGGCGGGAGGAGCCGAACTTGTGTGCCGGTATGGCGGGCGAGTGGCTTGGACTAGTTGTAGTCAAAGTGCAGGACGTTGGTGAGCGCGATCTCGAATTGGCGGACCATCACCTGGAAAAGAAAGAAATAAAATCGAGTCGTTAGAAAAATGTACATACATCCTCCCTAATGATCTCTGCAAGTTTACGGATTTGACCATGAGGCAAAAACAACATTTAGAGCCGAATTTCCTCACAAAACCCCTGCTAGTCTGCCTCTCAATCTGATACTCCTATAAAATCGCCATCTCCAAAGCTCTAAAGCAACGTTCTCAAATGATCTCTGCTACCTCGAGCAATAATAAATTTTAGGCGCCAGATTTCCACAAAACTACCTTTTCTAAAAGTTACCCAGCCCATTTCCTAAAAGTACGGGATTTTTCAACACCGTTTTTTCCAAAGCTCTAACCTCATAGCTGGTGTAATTGGGCAGCTTCACGTAGTTCTTGCACGTGACGGCCGACGGGAATTCGCCGTCGGGGCCGCCAAACGCCGGGCTCTTGCAGACAACCTGAAAATTAGGATATCTAACGCCAAATAGCTACTAACATACCGTAAGCGGTGGGCTCAGCGCTGCAAAGCCGCCGTGCGGAAGGCGCGGCGATCCGGTGACAAACTGCAGGAAGCGCTGTCGCTTGGCGGGCGTGAACTCGACGAGCATTTGAACAAAGTTCTTGACGGCCAGGCTCTCGCGGGAGTAACTAAAATGAGAGTATATTGAAATAAATGTTGAGATTTGCATAAATTGCTCTTCGAAAAATCGCAAAACTCACCCCAGATCGAACTTGAGCGCGTCGATGATCCGGCTCGGCTGCCAGTACTCGGGATCGGCTCCGTCGGCCCCGCAGAACAGCGCCTCGAACTCGTCGGGCAGGAAGCACTCGAGATTTTCGCGCGGGAGCACGGCGTTCAGGCCATGGGCGATGGCTTCGAGGGGCTCGCGGACGGTGAGGAGCATGATCTCGCGAACGCGCTGAAAAAAATGGATGAAAAGTTTCATTTTGAGGATTTCAGCATAAGAAAAGGCTAATTTTAAACGTTCTCACCTCCAAGTACGTCCATCGATTCTTGGCCGTCACCGTTTGCTGGCTCGAGTCGGTGGAGATGTTGATATCCACATTCGGCACGGCATAATCGGCCATGATCAAGTCGAGCTCGTCTCCGCCGCACTCCTCGATCTGCTTCATCGACTTGTAGACGATCGGGTCGACGGTCGCCAAATCGCATGGGCCGATGAGGTGTGCCTTTCCGATGAGGTACTTCATCACGATCGGCGACAAGACAATGTCCAAACGCTTGCCGTCCTGCAGCGATTGTCCGAGGGCACGACCGAGCAGTTCGTAGAGCTGAATCTTCTCCACGCGCTTCTCCTTCGTACAAGGCAGCGGGAATAGGCCATGATCTGAGGCGACCATCTTCTCGTTCGTCTCCGGATCCACTTCCATCCTGCCCGGATACCACAAATCCAGCGACGCCTTCTTGAACTCCTTCGACAGTATCGAGTAGAACTCCTGGGTCGGGCCATGGCCAGTGCCGGCCTCACCTCGGAATTTCACCTCCATCGTGCTGCCCGTGGGTGTATCCTGGAGTGCCGCGTAGGCGAACGTGATGAAGTTGTCGCGGACGACCTCGATGGAGACCTTCTTGACGCGCATGAAGTTGGCGTCCTCGGTGGGGATGTCGCGCTGTTGGAGCCAGTGGCCGAGGGCACGCTCCCTGCCGAAAGCGGTGAGATGGAAGAAGGAGCGGCGCGTCTCGAAGGAGAGGGCGTACGGGGCGTTGCGGGCGATCCACTCGATCCATGTGGGAAGGCCTTGGGCGGCGACTGAGAGGAAGTCGGCGAGTTGGCGGTTCACTTTGGCGTCGAGCTTCTTGCAGACGAAGGCATCTTTGGAGGCGATCGGGAACGGGCGTTCGGGCCAGTAGCCCTGGCATCCGTCGACGGACCAGTACCTGAAAAAAGTAGTTATAGGAATTCTAAAAAAGTCTCAAAATTAAAGAATTATTTTCAAAACTTAGAAAACTTTTATTCGAACCTTAAAAGATAATTTTGATCAAAATCAAAGCGCTAAAGGTCTCAAAAACGTACTGATCGATGTAATGGAGCAGCGTCAACATGCCGAGAGCGGGCACGAATTGCGAGGGCTCATCCGGATTTGTGTGTGCCGTCGATTGTGAGATCCGATCGATGCGCTTCATCATGTTCTTCTCGAAAACGCGCTTGCCCTCCAGGAATTCTAAAAAAAAGAGAGTTAAGTTTTCAGCGTCACCAAGGAGTTCAGAGGTAAAAAATCGGCACCAAAAAACCCACCAGCAACAAGCGTGACTCCGCTGGCCGTCGGCAGAGTGGTGTGCTCGTCGGGTGCATGAGACAGCTCTTCACGGATGCGCTGCTCCAGCGACATCTTGTGGTCGACGTGCCGCACCGCGTTGCCGCTCTTCTTCGGCCGGTAGTGAAAGTTGTGGGCCGTGCCGAGGATGCGGCCAATGTCGTCGGACGAGTTGGCGAGTAGAACTTCGAGTAGCACTTGTTCTTGGCCAATGACCGTGCCGTTGGAGGTGAGCAGCTCGATGTCCATCGATTGGTAGATGCCGTTCTAAAACGTGGGTTTTAGGAAGTGTTTCGCGCTTTAAAAAAAAGATAAAATAAAGCAAAATAACGCCAAATACCTGAGAATCCTCCTCTTCTTCCGAACTGCTCGATTGGCGAATCGGCAAGCGGTTCTTGACTACCGAGTAGATGTACTTCATCGTCACCAGGGCGTCCGTCTTGAAGGTGTTGCTCTGGGGCGGGTCGCTGGAGTCGACTTTTGGATGTCGCGAGACAGTGATCTGAAACAAAAATTTAGATCAAAAAATTGATCATAAAAACAGCAAAATCCATTCTTTATAGTCGCGAAAAACCCACCGTAACGACATGATTCCGGAAATATCGCAAAGCCTGGGCTCCATGGAACAAATTGGTCGACGCGTGCGAGGTCAGATCGAAAATCGACACCGGGAACGCCTCGCACAAGTCAACGGCGCCGGCGACGATGCGGATCAGCTGGTTGAGGTGCTGTTGCCGGTCTGCGCTGTCAATCTTCTGCAACGAGGCGATGATCAGCGGGACGACGTGCATCGCGCTGCCGTCGGCCATCCACTTCAGGATCTCTTCGGCGAGGCCGCTGTGCAGCAACTGATTCGGCGTCAAGTTCTGTTGGGCCAGGTGGAGGAGGTCCTGGAAAACGGAGGTATAGAAAACAAGAGAAAGAGGGGAAAGAGCGAGATAGGGAGAGAGACCAAAAAATACCTTGAAGAACGTGTTGGGGATGAGGTCATCCTTGCGATCCCGAATCGAGGACACGAGTTGCTGAAGCTGCTCATGCACCGGGGCGACGTCAGGGCGAAGCCGCAGGGCGTGCGAGCACTCCTGGATCAGCCAGGCGTTGATCTCGGTGTGCTCTTGCTCGTTCAGCTGCCGCGTCTGAAACATAAGACATTAAAACGCTCAAAATTCGATAAAAAACCATAAATATTCCCAAAAACGCACCAACGAATCCGGTGATGATCCCGAATCCATGCTCGACGTGCTGGCCGATCCATGACGGCTGATGCTCAGCAACTGCAGCGGGCTCTTCTTGGGGCCGGCCGAGGCGTGGGCCGTCGAGCGCGAGCTGCCGCAGCTGTCCCGTTCGCGTTTCGTTGACGGGGATCTAAATTGAGATTTTATTTCCATATTGGGCCTCTAAAAAAACACGCGTTGCCACCGACGGCCAGGGGTGGACAGGATTTGCAAAAAAAGGAAAAGGGGCTTTTGGTGAGTGAAAGGCGGAAAAGAAAACTTGTTCAAACTGTGCAGAGGTTCAAATTGAAGCGTAAAAGAAGAGGAAATAATTTTTTAAATGCTGAAAAACCCTTTTTAAATAAAAAACTAGTTAAAAATAGAATATTTACTTTGGAGTTTTACAATAACTAGAATTACCACACGACAAATTCAAAAACGACCCCAAAATTTGTCTAAAAGCCATGCGAAAAGCCGGTGGTAGAAGCCGCTCAGGGTAAGATGGTCTATTTAAAAGGGATGGTGACAGAATTCTCAAATTCTGGAGACACCATCCCTCTAAAGAGGTACACGACAAAAGCACAATGGTCCCGGAAAAACCACACACACGGCAACCAGAAAGTGGCGTACCCGTCGTCACGGAATGGGGTGAGCGGGACGGCCGGCAGGATGGACGAGGGGTAGTGGTGGTGGTCGGAGGCGTGCGACGTCGTCGGCACGTCACTACTGTAAGAGGGAGCACATGCACGGGACGACGGCTTGGGTGTTCTATCCCGTGTTCCCCGAATTTCAAACTTTCCGAACGGGTTTTACGAATTTTGACAACCTCAAGTTTTCAAGCAGTTCAGAAATACGCTCCCGAAAACTCCCAAATTCACATTTCAAGCAAATATCGAGAACTTCACAAAACAACATCTAGCAGGGGGTATTGAGCACGTTATTCTACGTTTTATAGAATGGACAACGGATTCTAATGGATTTACTAGAAGGCTCAAACAAAAACAGGCTAAAAACATACCCCGCCGGGCTGGTGCGCTTGCGGCTGACGATCGGCAGCGCGTCGACGATCTGTTGGGCCTTGCTGCGAGTTCGGGTGACCGGGCCGGCCTTCTAAAAAAGCAAATTAAAAAAAAGACATGATTTTACGCTAGAGGGAGAGAGAGAGACCGATTCAGAGAACGTGAGAAGTATTTTCGAACTAATTTACCTTGTGTTTGCCATCTCCCAACGTCTCCACCAAGCGCTCGACCGACTCCCAAATGCCATGAGCACGGAAGTTGCAGGATGAGTTCTTCGACGAGTCTTTCTGAAAGAAAATACAAAATAAAAATCATTGAAGAGATGCGGCGGCGAAAAAGGGCGCCCAGTGGGAGGCGCAGAGACATTTTCTTTCCCGCGCGTAATCGATTGACTTATGCCGCCCCTATCCCTTTAAACAAGTTTCATACCTCTAGCATGGTTCTGATTAGCTGCACCGTGGCGACAGCGAGGTGGGCGCGTTGCGGGGTGTACGCCAGCGCGTCTTTCATCAAAGAGACGAGCATCACCGGGTTGGCATACTGCGACTCTTCCAACAGCTCGAAGAGGTCGACGTGGCGACAGGGGAGAAGGAGGCGGACCAGCACGCGAATGACACCAAAGTGGACAACCTGGAAAAGAAGAGCTTAAATAATAAAATATAGAAGTTAAGTTTCGACGAATTCAAGACGTTCGAGCCGCTTACCGGGTCGGTGACGCTGGCAGCGACAGAAACGAGGGGGAGCTGTGAGCAGAGAGCAAATCTGGTCGAAAGGACGCTCCTCACTGGACGTGCTCGGCCAAGCAGGTTGATGCTGACGGCGATGAGTGCCAGCTAAAAAATTGAATTTATAGTTTTAAAAGGGGCACGTACTCTGATTGACGATGTGCTTGTCGATGATGAAGATGCTGGTATCCGGAAGCGCCGGCGCCAATTCTCCACACATGTAGATCAGCTCCCGAAGGTCTATGAAGCTGTTGATAGCCCTCTTCGACGAAAGCGGGGACAGCAAATTGGCAATCGTGCTCGTGGCGCCGACGTGGTGAAGCTTCAGCGCAAAATCACTGCTGCATCCCATCAACAACCGGACGGCAATGAGCAGCTCCGTGGTGGCCGAGAACTTGGTGGTGACCTCGCGGAGCACGTTGACAATCTTGCACGCCAGATCGTACTTCTGGTCGAGGACGTCGTTGACGAAGGTTTCCTCCTCGTACAGGTTGCACACGATGCGGGAGAAGGCCGCGCAGGCGGCGTCGCCCATCTTGCTGTCGGTGTCTGGAAAAAAAAAAGGTTTTTCGGGGTCCAGAAGGTCAGAGCTTCAAGGAAGTTAAAAACGCACTATTCAAGTTATCGCAAATCTCTCTGAACGCCTCGGTGACCTGATCGAGGTTGGCCGGGGTGACGTACGAGGCGGCGTTGGCGACGACTTCGATAGCTGAGCGCTGGGCGTGCTGGTTGAAGAAGTACAGATGACGGAGGACTCCAGAAAGACCACCCTAAAAATAATTTTGAAGTCGTTATATGATTGATGCTAGACTTCTAGAAGTTCAGAAAAACGCACCGCTTGCAAGATATTCCGCCCATATTTTCGGCTGAGGATCAGCAGCGGCTTGAGCGCCGTCTCGTGGATGTCAACGCCGTACTCCTCCCTGACGTCTTGCATCAACGTGATCAGCAATGGGATGGCATCTGCGGCGACGCTGTGCGAGCGTGAGAAGACGTCGACCAGGTTTTGGAGGCAGGTGACGCCGTCGCTTTTCTGAAAGGGCGTAATAGAAATATTATTTTTTTTATTCAATTCAGGTTTTAGCAGTCATTTTTTAATATTGCTACCCCTCTAAAATCGACCCTATCCAGCGCCTAGCCCCTATTCGCCTTTTCCCTTTTTTCCGGGCCACACACATCGCATCGACGCGGCGGCTGGTGGAACCCTGGGCACGTAGCGCAAATAGAGCGCGGCCGGAGTCGGCGAGAAAAATGCGTTGTGACCAAAAAAGTTGGACAAAGCTAGCGAGTAGGGGAAAGAAGTGGAAGGGAGTAGAAAGTTCACGTTCAAAGCTTGCAAGACAGCTGCTAGGAAATACATAAAATCAACCACAAGTCCAAAATGCTATTTTAAGGGCTAAATTAACTACAATAGATCTAATTAAACTCAAAGTTCAACGACTTAAGCGAAAAAGCAAATTACACAAGTTGCGGATACTCCAAAATTCCGAGTTTTACACGCCGCTAGTGATTTTCAAAATTTTTTCCAGCTGACTAACCGTGTTGAAGTCCTCATTCTGCAACAAGTCCTTGATTGCTGCGACAATGTCGCGGAACGACACGTTCAGGTTGGCGCCCTCGTCGGAGATGAGGATCAGGTTGGAGATGGTCTGGACGGCCTCTCGTTTGCGCCATAGGTCGGACGATTGGAGGTTCTCGAGAAGTCCGGGGTCTGGCTGGCCTGGAAAAAAGAAATAAAATGGTTTTTTCTTTTTAAAATATGTATCTTTATTTTTCAGGGTCAGGATTCTTTTTAGTTAATTTAAAAACACCAAATCTACACCAAATTATGCATATTTTAATTTTTTAGGATCGGGATCAGCTCGTTTTTCATTTTCTAAAATTTTTAGACGCTTTATCACCCTGAAAAATCTCGGCATTTCCGCCCTGTATTTTCTGCCCAACCCCCGGCCCCCAAATTGCCAGCCATTTCCCCTCCGGTCCGCTTTTTAACGTGCCGAGTTTGTGTATGCTTATGCGTGTCCGGGTCCCCCCGGCCGTGGTCAGGATCGATACACAACCCCGCCGGCAGCAGCAGCAAGGCAGACAGACAGATAGAAGATAGACATAGGGACAAACAAACAAACAGACAGACAGACAGACAAACTGGGTGACACCACTCCCATCCCCCGGCAAATTCACGCAAATTCTATAGCGTCTCGGGCGGTGAATGGCGGGGTGGCCGCCTCGGGGGGAGGGCGATAATGGGCTGTTTAGTGGCAAGATGAGGGTTGTGGGTACGGTAGTCAAATCGCAATTTTTAGAAAAAACAACCACAGCTCACATTTCTCGTCCAAAAATCGGCATAGCCAAATTGTGGCCATAGAAAATAAAACATAAATTAGTTAGGTAGCAAAAATCAGTACTTCTCTGGGCGCGTAGTTTGGAGCGGGTCGTATTTTTGGGCCGGTCCAAACCCCATGCCAAAAATATTCGAAAGTTTGTTGTGAATAACAGTATTTTGCCATGCTTGCCTGGCGTCTCCGGCTAAAAAAGATCCCTATCACGCCAGGCAGCAGCGCCCATGTGCGCCCGCGTGGTAAACAAGTCATTTCTTCATGGGTTTTTTTGTTGGGTGATATTAGCAAGGAAAATGTCGAAAACGGGAACTCGATATCAAGGAAAATACAGAAATTTCGCTTTCGAACTTTTCTTCTTTTAGGAATTCCTAGAAAACCCTATTTTCACAATTTTTGGCAACGTTTATAGCCCTTCGCTAGCATTCCCCCTAGTTTCACAACCCAAACCATACCTATTTTGAAAAACCCGGGTGAGCGAGGCAAAACCTTTTCAGGCAAAAGGTTGCTCAGCTGACTCACGCCGCCCGGGCGTCATTTCCCAATTTCTTCGCTACTTTCAACCGAACCAGGTGGTGGCGGGGATGGGTGGAGGGGCTGGGGGAGAGGGGAACTCGTGAAAAACAAGAAACATTGCAAGGGCAAAAAACGGTATCCGGTCGCTGAGGGGATTTCGAAAGCATAAAACAGGAAATGTCGACAAAACCAAGCGAATCTATCAATAAAGTACGGTACAACTACGCGACGAGTCAAATCGCGAACAATCTAGAAATGTTCACAACATATGTTTCAATATCCCAAATCTTGAGAGTAATCTACCTTAAGCCAAATCCTTAAGTATTACTGCTGCAACCTGCAAAAGCTCCACAACATCCCCAAATCCTGTTTTCCGCACTACTTAACTGAGATGCGAGGTTTACTCCCGTACTTCCCCGAAATCCATTTCCAAATAACACCCCATCGACACTTTTCGGGGTGTAAATTTAGAGACCACAACCCCAGGCTGAGCGAGAGGGTCAATGACAAAAAGTCCTTGACCAGCCATCAAGCAAATCGACTCGCGCTCGCGGCGGGGCAGGCTCGCCCCCTATAATTGGGTTCTGTTACGGATGGATAACTTTTGGCATGAGGGGAGGGATGCGGGTATGTGAGAGATAGATATGCGTTAAATACTACCCGAAAAAGTATCGAAATTTCAGGAAACCTCGTAGATTAAAGTTCAAGCTTTACAAACCTGGCTCCGGGATCACCTTGATCGTATAGTGGCTGGTGAAATAGTAAGCCATCGTGGCACATAAAAAAGCACGGCTAGTGGTAGGGTGACTAGAGGTATCTGCAGTTATGATTTTTGATGCGCGTTAATAAGGGGCATCGATTGCGGGAGCGGTGTTGGTGGGGGCCTCCCGGAAATTTAGCCTGGCCATGGGGGAGAGCCGAGATGGGGGGTCAGAGACGCAGCGTGGGCTGCGCCTCTCTGCGCTCTCACCCCCCGCCGCGTTCTTTTCGCCGATCCGGCACTCGTGGGCAGATGCCGGCCGATTTTTCAGGCTTATCTAGGCGGATTCTGCCCGGAAGCTATTTGTGGATAGCCTCGGGGGTATTAGCGGTTTTTGATCTGAGTACTAATGTGTCTTGTACGGGGTTTTGAATTCAAATTTCGGGCAGATGCGCCTGAAAAAGGCTAGACTACCAGCGTAGGGAAGTTTTTAGGGTTTAAAGTACTCTAATATACACCTAGAAGAGCATTTCAAAGGTGTTAGTGAACTTCCAAACGCTGTTTTCAACTGAAATACCATTACCAAAAAATATCAGGGTATACAGTAGGTTAAAAATATCTTTTTCAAGCGCATCCCCCGGTTTCTCAAGGTTTCCAAACTATCCGCCTAGACAAATGCCTCGGTACCCTAATCGGGAAGTGATCTAGCCCTGGCTTCGTGGGGAGCCGCACTTTTTGCCTATTGCGTGTGTGCGCGTGGGCGGCTGTCGGATCTTTTTTATGCAGCTCGGCCGGGTCGGGAAGCGCCGCGCCTCGATTTCCATAGCGCCTGTCAATATTAGGTGGGGAAGATGGGTCGAATTTTGAGCGTAAAAACTGGTCCTACGCAGCAAGCTGTGAGCTTTGAAGGTTTAAAGGTTGACGCGGAATTTTTAAAAGATTTTCATGCCAAAATCATCTTTTACGGCCGTATAGTAAAAATCACCCTTCAACTCCGAATTTCAGTTTTTCACACCTCGTCCATCTTTTCCACCGTAACAAGCCCGTTCCACGCCCAACCCCCGAGTCAAAATCGGAGCGCTCATTAATAATGTGGCAGGGCAAGGCTCTCAAGAGTCGATCGCTTTCGCTGTGTGTGTGACTCGCGGCAAGTGAGGGGGCTGTAAAAATGAGATGGAGCAGCAGCGGTGGGGGAAGGAGGGCGAGGCCCGCGATCCGCTAACCCGTCGTAATGTGTATGTGACGTGAAATAAGTGTGGTGGTCGCCTTTCGCTACTTTCCAGTCCTCTTAAAATGGGTCGGAAAACTGATCCGTCTAGACATGTCTCGGGAGCTGTCCGGTCGGGCTAGACGGCAGAGTGCTAGGACAAATATGATACTTTAGATAAAGAATCAAGGAAGCAAATCTCTAAATCTACGTCAGACCTCATCTAGCCGTTTTTCAGATTTATTTAGCTTTTGGGCTTTCTAGCTATCGTTATTCCTAGTTTCTAGGTAACTCCTAAAATCTGTAGCCTCTATCGTAATACCCCCCACACGACCCAGAGCCCTCCATTACATCAAATCCCGCAAGCGCCCCGGGCCAGTTGCAAAAATGGAGCAATTTTATGGGCATTATTGCAGCAGGATTTGCAAATCGAAAGCGCTGTAGAAAGAGGCCAATAAAAATGGGATGTTTGTATGCTCTCTACAAACTACAACGTCCACCACAACCTTCAAATTCTTCGCCTAACCTAAAATTCTAATGCACTCAACAGTACCTTACTTGCACTTCGGCCCGCCCGGTCTTTTCACCCGAAACCTTGAAGGAACTCGTTTTCCGGGAGACCCCAGCCTACCCACCCGCTCCCTATTCAACGCATAGTTTGCTTGCTTCTCTGGCCCGACCAGGGAGCAGCCCACCATGTGAAATTCTGAAAACGATCCCCGCGCCTGCTCAGGTTGTGTGGAGATCGGCCGGGAAGACATAAAAACGAGTTCCAGCCAGCGCCCGAGCTCAGCTGCTGCCCACGCAAAGGGAGTGCGAGGAGGTGAGCAGGGGATGCAAAGCGAACATGTGACCTTAGGCGCGGCTTTGCCGTCAGAATCGGGGTTCAAGGATGGGAGGGTGATTAAAGGGCCGGGCAAGGAATTCTAGCCATAATCGGGCATTGAAAATCCCGACAGCCAAAATGTGATATTGTTTGACGCATCATGGTTTTAAAATCTGGGCTATCTAGCTGTCGGGATTTTGGCCTGTCAGAAGTTTGGCTTTTGGGATTATGGCTATCGGGATTTGGCGTTTACCCGTCGTGAATCTCTCACAAAAATTGCTAGTCATAGCGTTTACATCCCTTTAAAACTGTAATAAACTCTTGATATCAGATTTCTCAAAATTCCTTTTATTCTCATCCCACCCAGTTTCAAAACCCCGAACGCTCATGGCCAAAGCTCATATCTATCGCGTTTTACGACCTCGCCCAATACCGTATTCCATATTTTATGGTAATCGCCATCATCACCCCCATCCAGCCAGCCAGTCGACCCAGCTCTAATTGTACTGCCAAATGCTGTGCCGATGCCTGCCCCTCTTCGGCTCCTCCGCCCCTATCGACTAGCACCAACCCGCCGCGCCCTTTGCACACGTGACGTTAAATTGTGGAAGGGGGGAAGGGGTAGGGGAAGAGGGGCGGCGCACCCAGCGAACAATACCTATTTATGCGCTCCGGGGTAGTACGGACACCCGGCGGGTGAAAGAGAGGGAGGATGGGGAGAAAAGGGCGAAAATGCGGCTGCTCTGTGACTTTCGCCTTGACTATCGGGTAGCGCGAGATTTATTGCGGACTCGTTGGGGGTGGGAATCGATCATGGGGAATCTGAAAATTGGGTGAAATTGAGATTACGGTACGATTTCGTCCCATCTTGCGATTTTTCCGATTACGTAATGTATTGTAATCAGAAATTTTCAAATTGGCGTAAAGTAGAGAAGACGGTACGCTAAAGCAAATATCGGTATATCCGATTATGCCATGTATCCTAACACAGAGATTCTCAAAACTGCGCAAAATACAGAATATCTACGTTTAACGAAAATAGGTTTATCTGATTACGTCATATATTCTAACACAAAAGTTTCAAAACTACGCAAAATAGCGAATATCGACGTTTTGAGGGAGAATAGGGTGAACCGCTTACGACATATCAAGCCAAGCACAAAATTCCTTTTTTTTCCGCAATTGATTACGTCATTTATATCCGCTATTTTAGCTATAGCCTGATTTTCCGTCAAAATACAAATTTCCGCGACCCGGCGGCATCTACGTCCTTCTAAAATTCAACTTATCGACCTCAACGTCCCAGTAATTCCGACCCAAGTACAATTAGGGAATCCTCCCCCGGTCCCTCACTACCCCTCGACCCTCCGATATTCCACGGGGATAGCCACCACCACCCCGAGCAGAAGGAGATAGGAAAAGCCGGCCCCTCCTTACTGCCCTCTCCCCGGCGTCTCATAGCCCTCTAGGGGATCCGGAGAAAAGAGAGGGAGGTCGACGAGAGATTGAGGAAGTGAGAGAAAAAGAAGATGAACAAGGGCTTTCTCCTCGGCCGTCGTGGGCTGAAGGGGGGAGAGGGGAGAGAATGCGATGAATGTTCCGGACCGCGAGCTAGTCAGCTGGCAGTAGCCGTTGGGGGGTTTTGTGGTTGGGTTGCGGCGAGGGAATGGGATTTTTAAGAGGTGAATTAGCAAAAAGGTGACTGGAATTACTTTAAAAATCCGGATTCTCTTAAATCGAAAAAATCGCGATCTCAGGACAAAATCGGAAAATTTTTTTAGCTTCAGATGCCCGGCCAAAAACCTACGCTTTCTTCTTCCACGTTTTTTTACTACAAGATCAGCTGTCAAATCAACCGGTTCTCCCCTACAGCCTGCCTGCGTCCGCTTTCCATAAAACACCTAATAGATTGGGATCAACTCCCGGGCACATTACAGGAACTTCTCTTATCTATCGCTCTTTTTCCGACGCTCCTCTCTCTCGATCTCTCTCCCTTTCGCTCTTTCTCTCCCTAGGCAAATGGCAAATGACAAAAAATGCCCAAGTGTGCCCGGGTTCTCGCCTGGCCATTCGTCTCCTACTGGCCAGCCAGGCTGGCGGCAGGGCGGCCACCCCAAAAAACAACTGCACATTGCGAAAGGGCCGGGGGAAGGGAATAACTCGTGACAGACATCAAGAGCATGAGGCAGGGCGAGCATGAGAAAGTCTTCAGCTCGGCCCTGATGGCTCATTTGTCATATTCACGCGCGCGCGGGGTGCCGGAAATAGATCGACAATGCGATACAGTACGAAAAATCATGGGTTTCTAGGGCTGAGGAAATTTTTTAGCAAGCTCAAAAACTAAAATAACTCTCGTTCTCTTAATAAACCCACAATTACTCATGTAATTATTACAATTCGTCCCACCTAATCCCCAAATTTATTCCGGCCCACACCTCCGACCCAGGCCACCATTCGGCTGGCGAAAAGTTGCATAAAAGCTTCTTCTTTTCGCGCGGCGGGGCTTCTCCAACCATTCTTTTCTTTCCGCTTCTTCCGCCACCCTCGCCCGGGGAGGATGGGGCGCAAATTCAAGGGCGCGCCCCCTTCCTATGCCTCCTTGTTGTTGGGGGGCCGTTTGGGGGTAGAGCGGACTAGCACGAGACATTCCCCCACTACGGCCGACGACGCACAAACATGCACACACACACAATTTCTAGGAGGGTGGAGGGCAAAAGCGACGGCGGCGGTGAGGAGGTACTAGGGCATCCGGGGAGAGGGTCCTATTTTCTCCTTTTGGGGTGGGTGCGGACCTCAAAATACCCGGGGAAAGCCGAGGGCCGAAAAAGGGTTGTCTGTCTGTCTGTCGGCCAGTTGTGGCGCGTGTTTGTTCGTCTGTCGGCACGGGGTGCGAGTCGGCACGTCACGCGCCCTAGTCCGATCTGGGGCTAGCGTCCCCCTCGTGCTTGGCATGGTCTTTTTGAGGTGTTTTTGTTTACAAAAAATGCGTATGCCGGATTTGAAAAAAGGGTAATTAGGCGGAAAGTGGAGTAAAAAAAAATCGAAAAAGTACGCACTTAATAGCGTAATTCGGAAAAGCCGGAAATTAGGGGAACCCGAAATTAAGAAATTTTCATAAAGTAATTCTGAAAATCATTAATCCCTACGAAAAATTCTATCAATTCATTACCCCCCAAACTTTTTTGGCAGACCAAACTTCAGCCGGCGTTATCTAATCAGGACGGGATGCCTGTAAAGGTATGGAAAAACACAGTCAGAAAAACCTGGAGATTCGGCTTTTAAGGAGAGCCTACAGTGGTTAAGCCAAAATTTTGAGGCAACGAAGGTTTAGGAAAAAGAGGTATTGTAGAAAATAATTTAGAGGGAAGAATAATTGCCGGAAAAAAAACTAAAAATTCGAAAAATCAGTTCCGCTGGCCTGACCCCCAATTTGCATAATCCTATTTAAATAGCGTAAGCGGCTGCAATTACCGATAAATCCATATGCCGTGCATCTCCCCGCAATCGAGTCGATGCCGGAGCGGAGGACCAGCCCCGCCGGGATGTTGTTTTCTTTTCGTGGCGTGGGCGGAATCGGAATCGAGTCCAAATCCATCTCCATCGCCAGATCGCCGTCGTCCAATTCCATACGCGGCAGCGTTTAGTTCTAACGGGTTTCCTTGGCTTCTATTCTCGGCTTCTCCTTTGCTATCTCTGCTGTCTATCGCGAGTGGATTGGCAGCAATCGGCAGTAGTAGAGGGGGTGTCAAGTGAAATCGCGGAATTTGGAATGAATCGGAATTTTGAGGTAGACAGAATTTGCGGGGAAATTAAGAGGGGAGACCAGCCGCAATATCGAGAAGTAGACCAGCTACCTGTCTGAAAAATTTGGAAGTTTTTTGGTCGTTTATTTTTAGAGAAAGTCAGCCAAGTCAAAAATACCTTCCGCACTTGATTTAATGAATTTAGCACTTAAAACAATTTTCACTAAATTTTTGAAAAAGTACAAACGAAAGAAAAATAAAATTTCGGCAAAATTCTATCAAACGAGAAACTACATTTAATTTAAATCAGTTGCGGACACGTTTCTACCTAGAAAATCTAGCTCCAAAAAATCATTCAAAACGCACCAATGATTAAGGCAAAAGGCTTGAGTGTCTGAGATCCGGATCCTGGGATGTAGCTCTCCTGTGTGTGGCCAAAAACGAGGCGGGGAATATGCAAATTGCGAGCGTGTGTAAGTTGTGTTCTATTCTTCACAAGGAATTCTTCTCCTTCTTCTTCTTGCTGGGGTCCCTATTCTTCAAAGGGGCCTGGGCTACAATCGGCTTAACGGCCGGCTCGGTGGGCGGCTGCGGTTGCGAGTTGGTGGGAGAACGGGGTACGGTAGACCGTCGATTTGCATATGATACACTGGGGATGCAGAATGCGGGTGGAAAGACGAGCTGTGCCCGGGCGGGTGGGGCTAGGGGGCGGGATTCGGGTGGAGGGGCAGAGAAAGAGGGAGAGCAAGAGAGTGGATAAGGGATGGAGGGTGAGAGAAAAAGGGAGAGCGAGAGAGGGAGTAGAGAGGTGTTGTGTGACGAAAGGCAAGGCCAACTCGGCGGAGGGCCGAGAGAGCCCGACTAAAGGGACAGGGAACTGGGGAAGAGAAGAGGGGCGCTACGGCACACAACACGGGACGATCAGCTGACCGGGGCAAGGGAAGGGGGGACACGCTGGCTATGGGGCTGGCTGGGCGCTGCTGGCTGACGATGCGAGGTGCAATGGGGCGCTTTTCTGAGGGGGACCAACTAGCATAAGTAGGCGAAATTTTGGGGTTTTCAGATTTGAGAACACTAGCATTTTGCCAGATTTCTGAGATTCGCCAGAAACGCCTCCAAAAGCCAAAACTAGAAAAAAGCACTCCTCCAGTTAAAAAACTCAGAAAATACGATTTTCTTAGGCTAACAAATCGATATTTGTCGATTTCCGGTAAATTAAATGCTCTAAAATTCTGGAACCTATTGAATAAAAATATACCTACTAAAATCTACGACCGAGGAAATTCGCCGTTTCCCTTAAAACCGAAATACCCCTTCTCCTAATCTATTTTTCCACCTTCTCCTCATCGATCGACGTCAGCCTCCCCCCTACACTCACAACCCTTGCCTAGCGTCCCCCATAAACACATCGAAAATGCAAAGGGATTGCCCTCGATGGCGCCGAGATTCAGAGGAGAGTGTCTTTTGAATGGATTCTGAAAGCTTAGAAAAATCGAGGGGCAACAAAAGGCCGTGATCAACGACCAAGGTTTACAAAGAAATTAAACTAAAACCTCTAGGCAGGAAAAGTCTAAACGTTAGAAAACTATCAATTCTTATTAAATAAATTGCTACTTTTCAAGGTCATCTACTAGGCAAAAACCCCAGAAAATCAACCTGTCTCGTCAATCCCTATCCGCTCAGCAGCATCCATAAATGCCAACGCCACAAAAATATTACTTGTACGATCCACTTTCAGACATCGCCCTCCCCTTTCGTTTTTTGTCGCCTAGATCCCCGCATGGTCTCATATCGATTGCCTAGAGGGGGAAGCCCGGGCGATCGAATAAAACGGGGCCGCCGTCGGGACGGTGGGGGCCACGTAATCGCCGGGTTGAGAATTATTCACAAAACATCGGCACTCAATGTGCTCAATGTGCTCAGGCGGGCGGCGTGGGCAATTTTTGTAAAAAGCCGGCCGGCGAATGGGCGCGTTTAAAAAAAGGGCATGAAATTTCAGGGATGGGTGGGTTACGGTAAGTCCAGCCGAGACTGGTTTTGAAAATGGAGCATAAAATTCAGCATTTCCCGCGGTTATACTGTAATTTAAAAAAACACGTCAATTTTCGCTACTTACTAATACAAGTTACAAACTTTAGAAAATCATTCAGCTGTCATTTTTTGCATAAAGCGTGCAAAATTTACACTCTCACCCTTAAAATTCAACGCCCACCTCCCGCTACCTTAAATTCAGCGTTGGGTCGCAGGGCGCTGCAAAGCTTTCCCTCTCTATCTCTGGGCCTCTCTCCTCGCCGGGAAGCCCCACTACTTGACACGCCGACACAGCGACTCTCGATATAATGCTTGGCAAACAGCTTCTTCTTCTTCTTCCTCTGCTTCCAACCTTTGCCTCCTCCAGCTCGCACACTGGCTGGTTGGAGGGTTCTGGGGAAGTAAAGGAATGGAAGCGAGTCTTGCCTTGGAGATTTCTTAGAGTCAAAAAGACCGGTGGGTTCAGGGTAGGGGCAAGCCTAGCATTTTCAACCCCCGCTTACTACAAGCTTTTTAGCAGCTATCGTATCGATACTATCGCCAAATTTGCACCACCCACAAATTGCATCGAGCCTAATTTGATAGCCCGCCCGCGTCTCCCAGTCTGTCTGTCGCTGTGCCCGTCTTCCGATATGTCGTGAAATATTACCCCGGACAGCCCGGGAATTTCTAGCGAGGCGTCTGCTGGTCGCGGCTAGTTCGGTCCGACTAATTTTTGAGCGGAAAATGGGCTAGCTGGCGCTGGGTGTGAGATAGGGGTGGGTGGAACAGGAAGCGGGGAAATTAACTTAGTGCTTCAGGTTTTCGCTCATTAAATTATTCTCAAAAACCCCTATTTCCGCTTCGAACTCTACATTATGACGAGAGAGAATTCTTCATACCCTCGTCATCTCTAGATCCTTGCGTTTTTTAATGGAATTCGGTACACATTACAGTGCCGAAATCGACGAGGCGCCCGAGGCCCTATGTGATGACCCTGCCCGGGTCGAACGGGAGCGATTTTAATCTTGCAAATCTTCATAGCGGTCCCTTTCTCTCGCTCCGTCTTTCTCTCTCTCTCTCTCTCTCTCTCTCTCTCTCCTCTCGCCACCGACAATCTGACCAACAAATCAATCAATTTTCGTGGAGCTCCGTGGGGGAAGGGGTGGTGTATGGCGCAAGGACGGGCCGCTCTGGGGGGATAGGTTGAAATGGAACTAGGGGGGGGTTGTGAAATTGGGCACACAAGAAATGCAGGAGGGACACGCATTCGATTATGGCAACAATTTTGAAATCGAATTTCTGGGTTTTTTTTGGAATCGCCGAAAATCTATTAAATCAGAGCAAAAATCACTGTTCGTCAATTTTAAAGGGACAGACAAGGCATGGATATGGACGACTGCGGAATTTCAGCGCTCGTCGAACGTCGTTTGACCCAATGTCTTACCGAATGTGAAAAAGTGGGCGCATTACGTGCCCGCGTGCAAAAAAATGGATAAAATCCATAAACCATGTCTTGCCTGTCCCTTTAAAACAGATGATTCGCATCTCCTTACACCGAATTTTGACGTCGCTGACAATCAGCGCTTCACAATCGTGTGTTATGATTGGTTCCGGGTGCACGTAGCGTAGGGTGTCAGCACCCCAGTAACACCACCCCGGCCCTCATTATGCTAGGCAAATACATGCTGCGCTACAGACAGTATGGCGGGCAGACAGACAGACAGATAAATATACGAACAGAGAGACGGACGTACAGACCATCGTGGTCTCCTCCACCCCGTCGGCCCATCCCCACCCCCATCCAAGTCGTCACACTCCCCCCACTGGCCGTTGTTGAGAATATAAACATAGCCCGGGTGGTGGTGGCCTCGGCAGATGAGGGCTTCCAATCAGGGGCCACCCCGAGCCCGGCTGGTCCCCCATTTCACGACACTACGGCACACACCTTGACCAGGGCAGGCGGGGGTACTTTTGAAAATTACAGCCCAATAGCGAAAGTTGAGGGTAAGCCTTGAAAAATGAAAAAAGCTTTTGCTTTGGCTTTAAAGGGCTGGGTCAGGGATGACTATGGGTTTTAGACGATTAATCCCAATAGATTTTGTCACATCCGCATGTGTGTCGAGAGCGCGGTAAAATAAATAGCGAGAAGTATGTTGTTATACCCTCTCCGTTACTTAAAGAATGTGCCAAGCCCAGTGGATTGATGCTACCAACATTCCGCAATACAATACCTTACAACCCTCCTAAAGTGCCCCCCCCCCCGCCATTGAAGAGACATCAGAGAAAGAGAGCGACAGGCAGAGAATCAGCTGATCATCACCCTATCGCCCTACGATAAGATACTAAGCCCATTCGGAGTAATAAACGAGCGCAACCTGTCCCACCGATTCCACCATTTATCGCCCCGAGGCCATAAAATCAGCGCTCGCATTTTGCCCCTAGGCGGGGGGAGGGCGGAGGGGAGGGGGTGGGGGCTTGCGCATCCGATTAGACCCCGCAGGTATCAGGCCGTATAACTGAAGCAATAAATAGACGCTGGGAGGGGGATTGCTACCGATACCGCGTCGCGCGCTATTTTGAGCCCCACGTGAGTTGGTCCTTATTGTTAGTGTTGGGGATATTCCACAAAAAAAATCTTGAATTCGGAAAATAGCGAAAAATGAGTTCTACACCTGATTGAACTACTAAAAAAAAGAAAACCGTCATTACGTGCTAGGCGTAGCGTAGCGTACGTAACGAAAGAAGCCCCAAATCGCCAAAAATACCTTAATTCTTAAATACACATCAATCCCCCCATAAACCGAGTTAGCTGAGCCAGATCCTTTTAAGCGAAAAATTCAAAACCCCAAAAATACCGACTTCGTGTATTCTCCAAGACGCGCACGTGCTGCAGTGTGCTACGGACGGCCTGGCTGATCCGGGAGTGCAGGTCGAGCCTGGAAAAGCGGTTTTAGAAAAATTACAGTCCGAAAAAGAACGATAACGCATCAGTCGACGCCATTTTTAAGCGATGTATGTCCTTTTTGAAAAAAGCCCGTTTGCTGATTTTCTCAGCATTATGGTTTCTCGGTCTCCTCCACACTTGGTCCTTTAGGGTATGGAAACCTAGGCGTATGCGATAGAATCGTCCGATCAGCCCGAAAAGAAAGAATTTGAATTTAGCAAACCATTTTTATCCAAAAAAGAGCAGAATTCTTTTAAAAAGCGCTCCGCTACAGTACCTCTGTGTACGCGACGTCGACGCGTAGGGTAGCTGGAAGACGTGGTGCCCACCGGGGTGCGCCGGATGCTGTTGCTGGATGGCTGGCTGGATCATCTGGGCCTGTTGAACAAGCTGTGGCTGCGCTGGCGGCGGCATCTGCATCGTGGCGGCTGAGGTGCTGGGGCCTGCTGAAAAAGTGAAGTCAGTTATCGGGAGACGGAAGACCGGAGGAATGGGATTTTAGGAAAAAACTTACGCATTTGCTGGACAAACGTCAATTGTTGTGGCTGGTACATCGGCGTGGCGAGCATGGCGGCTGCGGCCGACGTGGAAGCGTGCGCTTGCATGCGCCAGTCGAATTCCTGGAAAATAAGGTATAAAACTAATATACCGTATTTCCTCTACTCCGGGGTTAGATTTTTTCAATCACTTCAGGGGAAGGCGTTGTGTTAAAGGGAGGGATAGATTTTTCGTGATTTTGAGCCATTACAACGACATCGAGCAGTTCAAACTGCTCACAATCACTCAGGAACACAGTATGAAGCTTGAGCAGAAACGTTTTTGGCAATTTTTTAATTCTTAAAAGCATCATAAAAATTTATTTCAGAATCTAAAAAACTTGCATAAAAATACCAAAAATCGATTTGTAGAGTAGAAAAAATAATATCACTGACCTGGGCCAGTTGCTGAAGTCCGGCCGCCGAGTAGAACGGCTGCTGGAAGGGGTTGGCGCCGGGGAATGTTCTAAAATAGAGGCTGAAAAATCTCGTCGATAACTTACGGCGCAAAAATGGTCGGATAGGGCGCGGGCTGATTGAAGGGCTGGAAGGAGACGATCGGCGTCTGGCCGAAGACGAGATTCTGTTGGAGCTGGCGAAGTTGCTGCTCCTGCAGTGAGGCGACGGCGGCGTTGCGCTGCTGCAGCTGCTGCGCGTCAAGGCCCATTTGGTCTTGTTGAATTTGCTGTTGCATGATCTGGAAGGGGTTCATAATATATCGTGCTCCTTCCAATATAACCCAGTCCCAAAAATATTTTTTGGCCGTTGCCTTTAAGAAGTAACAAATCTAAAAACTTTTATATTTCAGGTTCGTACTGCGTTCCTGAGTGATTGTGAGCAGTCTGAACTGCTAGAAATCGTTATAATTGCTCAAATCTCGGAAAACATTGCCCTCCCTCTAATACAACCCCCTCCTCGGAGGTAATTGAGAAAATAGAACCACCGGGGTTATATTAACGTAAAAACGGTAATAATTTTGATAATTTTACGACAATGAGGTGCTTAGAGCACAAGTTCAGGGAGTTCTACGTCTACACCTATGAACATCTACATCTACGTCTTTCTTTGCAATTAGGTGTACAGGTCCAATTCCTTGAAAGTGCTCTTTCAACCGATAATTTCAGCAAATCAGCAAAACTCACCGGATCCACCGTAACCGGAACGCCAGTACCAAGGGCTCCAAGAGCCACACCAACGGTCGGCTCGACCATGTTGCCCACGTTGATCGCGTTTGCCGGCGGGCCCCTGGAAATGCATTATAAATGTATATTCATTTAGTGCCACTTCACTCCGTCACCAACAAGTTCAAGCCGGAAATTCCAACCCGAAATTACTTCTCCTCACTTTCGTAACGCCATGATACTATGTACCACTACAGCTGTTATCTACCGGTCTCTCGCCCCGTAGCGCCCATTTCCCCCCCCATGATAACCCCCGCGCTCACCCATCATGGGCGCGTGACGTGCCCGGCAGCATCGCGGGGAAGCTGCTGCGGAGCTGGGGGCTGCTAGAAAATTCGAGGGTGCGGTAGAAAAGTTGCAAAATGGAAAACACAATGCTAAGGAGAATGCAGCACATCAAAATAGACTAGACTTTTCGACCCAAAAAGCCGTTTTTACCTTTTTCTACACTCTCCGGGTGACTACTAGTCATTACGGTCTGGCTGTACACTCTAGGGATACTGTCGCCAGACCACAAAATATAAACACTAAGAGGTGGCGGAGGAAACGGTAAGCAAAAAAGGCCGGTCAGCCCCCCTCCGTGCTCGCCGGACGGCCTAGGAAAACCGCCCAACAAATCAATCCATCGATTGTCGCCGAGGTGGGGCTAGGGCATTTTAAGGCATCAAAATGCAATAAAATAGCTTTCGGGCTATGGTTATAAATATGGAGGGGGAGTGCTTGTACGGCAGTAGCTGTATGCCGATTTTCAAACGCGAAGAAAAAGGGGCGTGGCCATTTTGTCAACAAATTTTCGTAAGATTTAAAATCGAGATACGGCTTTCGAATGAATCACAGTCGACTGACGAGAAAAACCTGAATATTTTCGCGGCGCCCCAAGACGCTGTAAATTCTCAAAACAAAATCTAGAAAACAAAAACCCGAGACGACCGATCAGAAAAATCAACAAGCCAAAGAACCCGTAAATATTCAAAAATCCATAGAAACCGTCGGTCAACAAGATTCGTGTGGTCCGGGGAAAGAGGGGCGAAAAGTCTTCTAATCCGCCCGGGGACGCCTTCCCACCCACATTTTTGATGTTTCCGTGAGTAAGGTGAGGTGGCTAGTTCCGGAAAAATGGGTAATATTTTCATTTCAAGACGTCAGGGGAACCGCGTTGTTTGGAACGGATGCCGTGGGTAAAGAAAATATCTGATAATATTCAAAACAAGCTAACAGCTTTTAAAATTCCTCGCAAACAGTTTTCTGATACCGTATTTCAAACGGTTTTCCGCACCGCGAGCCAGTTGTGTCTGTCTATAAAAGGCTAGAACCAAAAAAAGTAGTCTTCTTTCGCTCCTCACCAGTGTTCGGAAAGTGGTCGAAGTTACGTAACTGGGACCTCCGGGACCTCGGGATAGGTGAAAGGACCTCCGGGTTTCGGCCCGAAGGGCTTTTTGAGAGTTTTTCAACTCAAAACACAACTCATCACTTGACGCAATGTATTAGAAAAATGTTTGTCTTGTTTTTCTCTATCAGAAACTGCAAAAATGGAGGTTGGTCAATCGTCTAGTTTTTGAGCTAGGATGCCTTTTCCTCAAAAAAGACGAAGTTTTTCGGGTTTTTCGAGTATTACTCCTCAAAACCCTATTTATCACTTGACGCAATGTATTAGAAAAATGTTCATCTTGTCTTTATCTATTAGAAACTGCAAAAAAGGAGGTTGGTCAATCGGCTAGTTTTCGAGATGCTGGGACCTCCGTGTTGAAAAACTGCTATTTTTCCACTATTTCCCACAGAACTTTTTTTACGCCCATTTTTCTGGCTGACGATATATTACGAAAAGATGCAGCATCAAATTCTGCGTCGAATGGTGTATCGCACTTTGCCATGTCCCTCTTCTTTCATTTACTTCCGGGACCTCCAAACTGCCGCCACAACCCATCCGCAACTTCTGCCGTCGCGGTTGGTGCTCTCTTCGGTGCCCTGTCTCTCCAAGCCCCAGGCTTCTCTCGTCCCATTCTTTTCGCTATTCTGTAGCCCTAACCCTACCCTTGCTTTCGGCTATACATCACTTCCCTCCACCTCCGGTTTCTTGGGCCGCAAAACCGGAAAAACCTTCAAAAAGTTATGGTTGGCCTCCATTTTTCCCGTGTTTTTTCGACACCTTTTCCCCTCCAAAAATTTTCTCTGGCCACCTATCGCCACCGCCGACCCATCATTCGATAGCTTACTTCCCGTTCTACATTTTGAGATCATTTCCGGCCCTGCCACACTTCCGGTTCTTCCGGAAAACCGAATGGCAAAGTTATGGTTGGAAACCGGTTACTAAAAAAAAAAGCGATTTCGTCCCTCAAAACACCGTTTTTTCGGGGGACCTCCGGAATTTTTTTCAAAACCAACATTTTTTGGGACCTCCGACTCTCACCCAACCATAACTTTCCTGAACACTGCTCCTCACACATGATACGGCAAAAAAATCAGGAATTTCGCGCCGCTCCACAAACAACCTGGTAGAGTTTCAGTTTAATTGACATCAAACGGCTCACTGTAAAGTGTTTTTACTCAGGCTGGCGTTTTGGGATGGGACCAAGACTATCTTGTGCAGAATTTTGCGCTGATTCCGAATCTGATTTCCAAATTTGCTGCCGACTTTTATTTAAAAAGTTATTTGACATTTATACTATAAAAAGTGCCAAAATCCGGATTTTTTTGCGTTATTCTTAAGTTGTCTTTATCATCAACGTTAAAACTGGGTCGGTAACGGTTTTAGAGATCAAATCACGATTTCATGCAAAAAAATTATCTGTTTTGTGCAAAACGCAAAAGAAATTGTGCAGGGCGGGGTTCGAACCGCGGCCCTGTGCTTGGCAAGCGAACACCTTGCCAATGCACCATGGTGCCAACTGGACAGGCGGCTTCGGAAGGGTAGATAAGGAGCACAGCAATACCTGGGTCCCCACAGGGGATAGTGGGCCAGCATCCGAATTTATGCCGTTTTTTAGCCTAATTTCGACCTGAAATGACTTTTCAACGCGAAGTCCGCAGCAAATTTGGAAAACGGATTCGGAATCAGCAAAAAATTCTGAACAAGGTAGTCTTGGTCCCATTCCAAAACGCCAGCCTGAGTAAAAACACTTTACAGTCAGAACGACCAATTTAAATTTTGCCTTGTCAAAAAATCATCAGGTTTTACCAAAAATCACGATTAATTTCAACTACAGCATCGCCAAAGACCCCCCCATGGCAATTTCGCAAGGAAAAGCGGGGTTATCTAACACCGCTAGGTACCGCTTTTTGTTCGGGTCGGCTGATGATGCTATTCCAGTTCAACGAGAAATCGGGGGTTTCTTAGCGTAATTTGAAGCGACCCGCTTTTCCCATGCCCTTCTAGCCAGTTCCTCTAGCTTCATCCTCAATCCTCCAAATCCAAGCTCAATTCCCAATTTCCCGATTTTGGAATAAATCGATGTGTGTCAGAGGGTGTGGGTGGGGCAGCTGATCCGTTTGTGGACGAGCTGGGTGAGGGGCAGCAGAGGAGGAGGAGGAGGAGGAGGAGGCATCGCCGGACGGGCAAGGGTGGGGGTTGGGGTTGTGTGGCCGGGGCACTGCCTGCTGCTGCTGTTTTGTGGACGCCGCGAGCCTCGTCGCCCCGTCCTCCGGGCCGCCGCCCGGAAAATAATGGCAAAATATAGCGAAGAGAAAGGGGTGGAAGGCTGAAGGCGCGGACACACGATTCCCCCGCGAATGTCTTCTCAACCCAGGGCTTGCCACATAAATCTGGAGGTTTTTAGGAGGGGAATTTTGAGGGGCTGGTAGGGCCGAAAATTGGGGTGAAAGCGGCAGAAAAGTTATCGCAGCGCTGGCGCCGGCTGATTGTCGCCCGCTCCGCTCCCCTCATGGGCACAGCTGATGGAAAACGGGGTGTAGAGGTGATGAATTTGAGGAATTGAGCGTGGCTCGATTTTCCGCAGTTTAACGAATTCGACAAAACAGTCATGGGAGCGTGCAGCGCACTACAAAGCAGCCGACGAAGCCTAGAAACTAAAATCTTACGCATTGAGTACAATAAAGGACAGTAAATGTGCACCCTAGACGAGAACAGCCGTAAAAACTATAAAACAACTGCCAAAGCGTGGCCAGAATCGTAGACCAACGGATTTTAGGTGTTCCAAAGTGTTAAAAGGAGCCTGTCGCCTAGAAAGTAATCATCGCACAAATCATAAAAAGTGATGCAGTATGGAAACTAGGAGGCTTATGCATTTGGAAAATTTAGCGTCTAAAACAAGCGCGAAATCTTAAAGCGACTAGCTAGGAATTTCCTAGTAGACGCCGAAAAAAGAAGTGCAGATTGCCAGTTGGCAAATGAATGGGTAAACTTAGACCTAATACAAAAAAGAAAAATTCCGATTATATTCACTTGGCAAAACCACCAAAACCTGCAAAAAAACTAAAGTTCGAAAGTACACCGAACTATACAATAACCTAAAATAAACTTTATAGGAACGCTGGATTCTACTCTAAAGCTAAATAAATAAAAATAAATCAAAAAGGCTTTTCGAGCTTGGAGCCCAGCCATGATCGGAGGTCTTCGGGCATGGATATTCAAAAACCCTTCAACTTCACCGTCCCTTTAACCCTATCGCTTTTTAGTGTCGACAAATATGGGAGCCAGTAAGGCAGCGGCGGCCAGGCCCGAGCCGGGCCTGGCTGCCGGGGTAGAGCGATGGAAAAAAAGGTTATCGGGGCAATAGCTGGGGCTTGGAAACCCTCTCCGCATACACACACATACACCCAGTGACACACACGCACACGGACAAAACGGGCGACCTCTCCCATCGGTTCCAAATATAAAAACAGACCCATAGAAAATTCCCGGAATCTGATCAGTGGCCTATATCAGAGCTCCGCCAACGGCAAGCTAGCCGAGGTTTTGGAGAGAACTTGGTGATCAAATCGCAATCGCAGCTATCAAAACACAACCGAAAATTTTGGTGTGAAATTCGGTCAATTCCAAAAATTGATTTAGTAAGAGAAGAGGAGGGGAAACGGAAATGGGAAAGGCAGGCTAGCACAAATCTTTGGCCCAACCAGGCAAGCTGGGTCTGTAATAATGTTGGGCAAACTAGCAGAGAGCTTTTGCTAGGCGAACTAGGTATGAAAATACAAACAAATGTGAAATTGAGGAACTGCGAAAGCAAGTAAAAATGAAATAGAAAACCACGAGAGAGAGAGAGAGAGAGAGAAGAGATCTACCTCAAGGAATGTTAGCAGAGATCACTGACATTCCCTTAAACTTGAGTCGAGCCACGCGGAAGGGCATGCATAGTTCGGCGTGACCTATTAAGGTGAAACAACGAATTATTGCGCGGGAAACCTTCGGAGTTTTTTTTATTACCGGTGTGGCCAGCTGAAAAGGCGGAGGAGGCGGAAGCGGGCGAAAGGAAAGGCCACAATTTGGGGGAGGGTAAAGTGTCAGTCTTGGTCTGTTGTTCACCAAGTACAAGCCGCACTAATCCCAGGCGCTCCAAAAACAATCGTGCTCCCGCGGTGGAACAATCAGGAATTCGAGGAAATGGAATGAAGAAAATGGTCAGGAATTGGTTTATGTAGAGAGAGAGCGAGAGAGAGAGAGAGAGAGAGAGAGAGAGAGAGTCAGAAAACGATGATTCATATCAGGAAATTCAAAAAGTACAACATCAGCAAGTCTAGAAAAATACACTGATACCGTAAAGTCAGAAAAGAAAAGGAAAAAAAAATCGTGTGATAGAAATCGAGAGAGTCCCAGGCGCGAAAACGGAGGGACAGCTTGTGGAAGAGGACAAGTGGTTTTGTCGCTACGTGCCTGGCGCAATATTGAGCAAGAGCCCAAAAATACTGAAGGAAAAGGATATAAAATCTTTAAAAAAATAGAAGATGCATTAAATATAAAAGTTTAATTTTGCCATTCAAGCGTCATTTCTGACCTATCAGTTCGGAAAATCATGATTCAGCGTTTCGTCAGACCGATTGGAGGAGCGCAATTTGAGAAGCCGTGCAAAAAACTCGGAAATTGAGGGATGAGAAGCGGTTCCGGAAGAAGGAGCGGGTGGGCTAATAAGTCAAAAGTAAACCATAAACTACGGATCGACCGTTTGGAGCTTCTAAATAAATAATCAGTTTCCAACACCCAGATAGTCTATCAAATCAATACGCAAAAAAAGTGGAACCGCATTTAGAGCAAAAAAAAACGATAAAGCAGGGCCGGAAGTGAAGTTCCAAGTGTAGACTAGGAAATGGTACAATCTTTCTAAAAAAGCAGCTCCTAACAACAAAATCATTTATAACATTATGCTTAACAAGAAGGTTTGATCCGAATTTATAGCCAACGTCATAAAGGATGACCGAAAGTGAAGCTCGTGGCAAAAGAAGGCTTGAAAATTCAATAAAACCGGATGTGCGCATGCCTTTAAAATGAGTCATAGCCCGTGGATCGATCGTTAAAGACCGATATGCCGTTGAAAAAGGCCCAAGAATCAGGACTCAACCCTCAGAAGCCAAATGACCCCACCGAAAAAGGGCCCAGAAAACAATCGGAAAAATTGCTGCGGGGAGCCGGGGGAAAATGTGTGTGTGTTTGGTGGAGGCTGTGCTGGGGGTGAGGTGGGGGGCTGGCTGGCTGGCTGGCTGGCCGTCTCAACGTCTCACAGTGGGGGGATGGGGGAGGCGAGAGAGAGCGAGGGATAGAGAGCAGAGCCCGGGCAAAGGAGAGCAGGAGTGGGGGCACTAGCGAGGGCGGAGAGGGTCGATACTCTCTGCTCTCCCTCGCCCTATACTACGCATCCACCACGACCATCATCATCGTCGTCGTCAGGATCGAGCCGGATGGACGGAAGCGGAGGCCGATGGGAGCAAGACAGCGAGATGAGGAGGAGCATGAGCGGAAGACCCGGACCTTGACTAGGGAATGGACGACACCTGGCCTTATCAATTTCGGGTTGAAAGTTCATTTTCGTTATTTTGCAAGCTAATGTTGTAAAGTTCTATAAGTCGAATCGATTGTTGTAACTTTTATTCTGTGAACACCATAATATCGTAACTTGCAACCCGAAATTCGAGACCGAGTGAAGTCCATTCCCCCCTAGTTAGGATCCAAATGGGCCGGTGGGGAGAGAAGAATATCCAGTGGCAGGGCGGCTCGACTCAATTGCACCGGGTGGGATGAGAGCAGAGATTATTTGGGAATTCTAGAGTTCGTCGCTAATCGATGTCCACATGAAGAGTCTGCAAGAACAACTACGCTGCCTTCGGGATCGGGAGGCGAGCATTGGTTACTTGAGAAATTCCGCGGTAATGAATGAAATTTGATGCTCCGGAACGGGAAATGGCAAGCTAGCAATGCTCTTTTAGGAATTTTCTAAACGGATTTCGAAAGGTAAAAAGATACCAACAGCGCAGACCAAAAGCCGTAGTAAGCAGTGACCATTTTCTGGTCGGATTTCTGAAGGCAAGCTAGCATGAATTTTTTTGCGATCTCAAACTCCAGAGCTGTAAAAAAGCACGCCGAAAAGGAACAGCACTAGCTTTCCTAAAGAATCTCTGCCACGGCACTCAAGGATTTTAATTCCAACCCCTGCTGGCACGACTTCCGGGCCATCATCAGTCGGAATCGATGCCGTAACGCCAATAGTCGTAAAGATTAGTCAAAAATCCAACAAATGGATAGGGTCGCGCGGGAGGGGGGCCTCGGCTTGGCCCAAAAACCAATTTGGTCAATGCTAATAAACCGGGGTGGATGGGAATCAAGGGATTAGCCGCGTTGAGGCGTGTGGCCGGCAGAGGGGTATGAATTTAAGGGGATAGGCTCTTCACAAAGCGGATTTTTGATTCTGTCTCTAAAAAGGCTAGAGTACTCTATTTAGAAAAGCACTGAAAAACTACACGCCCAGTAAAAAAAAGTTAAAGGTCTTAAAAAAACTATAGCTAAACTAAAACTACGCTTTCTACGTGCATTTTAAAGCAAAAACGATAGTTAGAGCTAATTTTAAAAGGATAGAAGATCGCAGCAAGAAAGCACCACTTTCATAAAAGAAAACGCAGGGCGTGTTTCGTCGCCGGGAAATTTCCAAAGTGTCATAAACCGAAATCGTGCTGACTATGGCTTTAGTGCGGCGCTGGCGGGGAATCTGTTGACGCCGCTGAAATAAACGGCAAAAAGGGGGTTTGGGCAAAAAAGTGGGGCTCCTGACGGTTTGGAAGGCAGTGAATTTGAGCCAGAAAAAGGTATGACCTATGCAAAAGATCGGGATAGATAGAATCTACATCGAAAAAGTATCGAAAATCAAACTGGGCGAAAAACTGTGGGATTTGCAGCTAAACTACGGTAGCAGCAAGGCAGGCAATTTATTAGAACCCCCACCCCGCCGAATCCAAGCCAATTTCCCAGGCTTCATCACCTAATTGTGAGGGCGCGGCCAATGGGCGGACCGGGCCTGATTCATGGCCCCAGGACAGCTGATTATCCCACCTAAAAAGGAGGAAAATTCCGGCCCATTCTTTACCCCGCCTCACCACCCCCGGCTCTCAGAAACCCCCGGCAATTAGGTGAGGATACAAAAATGACCCGGTTGGCCAGAGTGAACTTCCAGGATTTACTTGGTATATAAAAGCGGTATCGGGATTCTAGTGGGCATCAGCTTTGGGAATCGTTAGAAAGAGGACAGTGAGATGGTACGCTAAAAATTCAAGGTCGAAAAATCCGAAAGATCAAACTCTAATGAAAAGGTAAGTACTAGCTATTGAGTGCAGCAAATACGAAGCCTCCCAAGACAACTCGAGTACCAGGCGCAAAACACCTCACTTCTGGCTAAAAATTATCGAAACTTCGCAAATTTACAGTTAGCATAAACCCAAGCTCTAAAGTACATCAATACAGTTTTTAGCAATACGCCATTTACAAAACCTCCTCAATCTACATGCTACAACCGAAAACTGACCGGAAACGCTTCAAAAACGCCAAAAACTAGCAAAACCACACCTTCTGGATCCTCCACGAGTCGGCGGCGCGCTCATCTGGTCGTCGAGTACATTTTGGCGCAGTCGGGCGCTTCTGCGAGTTTGCCGGTCAGTCGGCGGCGGGGCTTGTCCAGCTGATGAAGTCGATGGCCCTGGGCGCGGGCTTGTGGCGGTGCGCGGTTGAGCTTGTTGCTGCTGCTGTGCGGCCGTCCAGGAGCGCGTCTCAATGCGCTTGCTCTGAAAAAGGGTGCGTTGTTGTATCGTATTTAGAACGTTTGAAACAACCCAAATTTTTTGGCAATTCTAACGCGAAAAAGCTCGCTCTTGAAAAACCAAAAAGCCTCGTTTTTCGCGTTCAAATCATGATGATCACATCCTAGCAAAAACCATACCGTGGTCGGGCGATCTTCGGGTGTAGGCGTGCGACCGATCGCAGAACTGCTAACGGAAGACGGAGCACCCCTAAACAAAAAAGTATTCTTGGTTGCTTTCTACAATACGGGCAAAAACTATCCTACAAACCTTGTCAACGCCGATGTTGATGGGGCTGAAGACGTGCTGGGCGCCGGGAGACTGGTTCGAGTTTTCCGTTCAACTGGAGGGGGTGGCGATGTGCCCGGTGGGCTCATTCGACGACGACGTCGTCCACCGCGATCCATTCAACGGCTGAAAAAAGGATAATTAAATAATTAAAGCCAACTGATACAAATCAGAGATCTTATTGACATCAAAGACGAAAGATTTAGAGTTCAGTTTCAGTTTCTCGCGCTAACCTGCCCTAAAAGGTCGTCTAGACCCCCCCCCCCGTTCAATTTCAAACGATTTTGGCAGATTATTCTCGTTTCGTTTTGTGATTTCAATGGGCTTCTGGTCGGCAGTTTTCGAACCGGTTTACGCGTGCGGATTGGCCCGGATTAACGCCGACACGGATTTCCAAACCTACATCGGGAAATTGGCCAAAAAAGGAAGTACGATGAAATGGAAGGGCGATGAGAAACAGAATGAACTTTTACGAGGTAAAGAAAAGTGTAATAAAAGAAAGTGAGTTTCGACAAAAAGAAATTGGGAACCAAAGAAAAGCTTCGAGGGTGACAGGCCGTTGGAGGACAAATGACGATCTTCCGGTGGGTGGATTCGCAGTTCTGTCATTCACGCATTATTTCTATCCTCCCATTAATTAATTAACGCCGAGAAAGGTGATTTTTTGTTCGTTTTCGTATTTTTCTTTTTCCGGAAAGCTAATAAACTCTAGGCTTTTGCCATTTTGCAGCTTTTCTTCATCAGACAAGTTCAAAATAACAAGAACGTTTGATTTAGAACAAGAAAATGGGACTTGGTCCCTCAAGGAGCCTGAAATATGTCGAAAGAATAGGTGAGAAAGTGTTTAGAGCTCGAGGAATCATTGGGTAGAAAGGGTTGTTACGTTGTCGCAGAGGCGCTCTTTCGCGAGGTAACACTTTCACGATCTTTTGTAACAAGTTTTAGACTTCACAAGGTACGTTTCCCCTTGAAGCCACTCAAACCAGCACCACTGCCTTATCTAATAAAAGGTGCAGCCGATGCTACCATCGATTTTTCATTACCCTGGCCCTATATAGGGGGGAAAGCCCGGGCGCCGAAATTGATTTTGGCACGAGGAGAACGATGGTGGCACCCAGTGGTCGTGGTGGAGGATGAGGCCGATCTTTTGGACAACGAGATTGGCAAATATGGCCCGAATCCGAGGTCAAGCATCAATCAGAACCTATCGTCGTCTTATTTCCTCCCCGCCCCGAATTTGTCGCTCATCATCCGTTAATTTGTGACAGCCATGACCTTCGGGAATGCGTGAGAACGAGCCTGGGGGTGAGGTAGGGAGTTTTAGCAAGGAGGGCGAGAGTGCTTACAAAGAGACTTTTTTTTTCAGCGTCCAAGGAAATACAAGGTAAAAAAACCGGAAGCATCCTTTCTTTTCCAGCATTTTTCACTGGTGAAAACCGCCTTTTCAGGATCAGCTAAAAGAAAAAGTAAAACGAAAAACTAAGCAAAGAGTTATGACGGTGCAACGTACGAATTTCGCTCAAATTAGCCAATTTCGCCCTTTTTCGGATTTTCAAGCTTCATCATTTTTAAAACGGCTCTTTTCCCAGCTCCTAGAGTGATTTTTAAACAACAAAAAAAATCCTGTCCAAGATGTACCCATTTTGAAACTCTCTGTTTACTAAAACCACTCCTCTTTTAGCACAAAAACCCGGCTAAAAATCGACAAAAGTTATTTCGGGCCATGTTGGATCGGATCGGGGTGCCGATTAGTGATTGGCGAGCGAGATCCATCTTTCTTCTATCATACCGAGAAAAATCTATGGAATGGGCGAGCCGGGGCCGACCGCGCGGTGTTGTGAGGAGTGTGTGCTTGCGGAAAATCGGGGGCAGAAAACTAGGCGTATGGGAGAAGCTGGTATTGCAGCAGCAGCAGCACGGACCGCTTCGATAAACGAGCCCCGGGCGAGATTGGGGCTTTTGCATTAGGGAGTGTTGTCTAAATTGTTTTCGCAACGGATAAGGTGAAAATTCGGTAGCTTCCGATACAGAAATCCGAACGTTAGGTATCTAGGTATTTGAAAAGTGATACCTATCGTAGTGATCCATACTTTTATACAAATTTAATTTCAAGAATTCATCGATAGCAACGCTACACTACAAACTACAATCCTCGGAAGCCACAAAAAAGCGATTTCGCCGCTCGAGTGCTGACAATTTCGTGCTGAAGAGCCGTGGTGTTGAAATCAGCGGGGAATATTTGTCAGCCGTTTCTCGGAATTGGGGAAAAGCTCCTATAAAAAAAGGGTAAAAATAGTGCATAGCTGGTAATAAAGAAAGGGTATCTTAAATCGATTTTCCATGTTTTTGCCTGAAAATTTACAAAAAAATGCCGCTATAGCCGCAAATATTCAAAAATCGACATGATTGCGCATTGAAAATGCTATTTTCGAATCCAACGTCTTCAAGGAGTTTAGAAAACGAGGAATTTCTAAGGAATAAAGTTTCAAGCAATTTTCAGAGATTTTCGTAAATCCCGATTTTCAGCAAAGGTAAAAAAAATGAACAGGGAGGGAGGAGAGGGGATTTCGAAACAGAAATTTCAGCTATTCGATACTGAAAAAATCAGAATGTCAGCCAATATTTAAGCGATTTTCGAAAATCGCACTTGTTAGAAAAAAAACTAAAAAAATCAGAAAAGCTAGAAAGACCCGGAAATTCTTTCAAAAAAGGGAACGAAGAGGAGAAGAAAAGCCGTAGCTCAAGGAGGTTTCAAAAACCAAACCCAAACTCTCAAACTTTCAAGCACCAACCGCCAAGCCGAAGTCGCGGGTCGTGGTGGGGCGCGTCGAGGTCACGGTCGAAGCAGCGGCCAGCCCGGGCGTAAATTCCGGGGGGCGGCCGATAAAAATCTCGTCGAAACTGCGCAGTCAAGTTACGGACGGACGAGAGTAGACGAGCGAGCGGCGTCTGGCGTTGACCTCAGGGCTTGGGCGGGGGTTGGGGTGCCTCGCCTCGTCCACTCCCTGGGGCCTGGGGTGACCCGTGTGTGCGGGTGCCGGGCGCACTGTCTGTCCTCTCAATCCGTCCGTCTGTTCGTCTGTTCGTCTGTCTGCTAGGAGGGGCCTGGGATACTTTGCGCCTCCGCGTTCTCACGCTCTCTAGATCTGACTGCCGTCTACCCCTCGCTCTTTCGCATTACTAATACCGCTACCCCACGATGTCTCACATTCGCCCATTCCCCCGTTCCCCTCCTACTACATCCCTATCGATCCCCCTCCGCCCCATCCGCAATCTCTCGCCGTCTCCCCTGCGGTTCCGCACCACTCCAAAGCGCACACCCGCGCCAACGGGGTCCCCGGCGGCTTGCTAGACTTGCTAGACTAGTTTTCCTAGTTCTTTCTAGTTCAACCTCGACTGTCCGCTGCTTCTCTCGTTGTCCGATTGTCCCTCACCCACAGCTAAACTACAACCGGACTCTTGTTGCACTTTTCGGGGGTCGCACCCGGCCGAGTGTTCCCAGGCTCCCGGCGGGGCTTCAAAAGCTGCGCCCTCACCAGGCATCTAACCAAGCGCTGCGATTTGGAAATTGGCGTGCGATTTTCTTGCCTAGTTAGAATTTTCAATTCCGTTTCGATACTCTTATTTCTTCAGTTCTTTCGCATTATCGAGGGGATCTAGAAGTCTAGAAAATCCCATTAACTTCATAGAAAGTTTGTATAGTGCTTGTTAGTAAAATAATTCTATCTTTCAGCAAGAAAAAAACATCTAAAAACTGTAAAAAATGTTTTAAAAAATCGAAATTTTCGTAAAAACACAGCCTTTTTGGGTCGAAAATCGATATTTTCTGGCTTCCTGGCCGTATGGTCTTATCGAAGTCATGAAGCTAGTGAAATTTAGGATTCCTAAATTAAATTAACCATTCGAGCGGCAAAACTTAGCTTATTACGCCCAAAATCCGTTACAATTATTACATTTTTCTAAAATAGCCGAAGCAATAACTTTAAGGTGATAAAAGATCGAGAAAATAGCCGCTTTTGCCTACGTTTTACCCAACCTTGAGCAATCCTTCTTATCCGAATGGTGCCAGTTTCTTTCTTTGAATTGCGCCTCATCTGTGGAACCCTGGGACAGGCTCGGAGCATGAACCGGCTCCAGGCCTCGTCCAGTTCACTGACTTCTTCTCCCCGCTCGAGCACCCGTTTCCCAAGGCTTGGCTAGTTTCAGTCCCGAACAGCTGATACCATCCTTAATTCGTTAAAAAAAGTATATTTCTCGCCCCAAACTGATAGACTTTTAATTGGTCACGCTCAAAAATCATGTTGCCATTGGGCACGCCATTTCGCCGGGTTTCCCCCGCGCTTTATCGCGAGCGCGACACCGCCCCGATTCCAATCAAGCAGACAGGCAGCCGAAAAGACAGACAAAGAGACATAGAGACGCGTTCTCCAGCTAATCCCGTCGTCGCGTTATCGACCCGTTCCCCCCCTGCCGCGCTTTCTCACCCCTCTTGAACTAGTCAAAAGGTGCCGTTGCTTACGCAAGAATAAGCGATTATTCGACTAAAGCTGCGGGTTCTTATTTTTGATTTTTTAAGTCAACCATAACTATTGTATTGTATAGTTCCGAACAATTTTCGTTCGCTCCCTTGCGTTCCCTTGGCTACGCACCGCTCCTCTCGACGCCCGATTAAAATGTCTTAATAAGTTTCTCCAAAAAATATTTTTCAAATTCAAATGCAGCCACCTACGTCGAAAATTCTTAAAAAAATTACGATTTTCAGAATATGTTTTTATTATCTTTTATTATTAGCTTATCGATTCCGAGAAATCCGACGAGTAGATCCCCTCTTTCTGAATCTTGCTAGTTGTATAATTGTTGAAATAACCTATTTTACTTTCCTCTAGCTAACTTTCAAAGAAAGATTCCGGAATTGCCAGTATCGCGTAGTTTGGAGTAGGGAGGGGCAGGGCCGCTCGCCCGGTTTCGTCACATCCCGGGGCTGCGTCACGACCTTTCTCAATGCCCCGATTTCCGGCCTAAATACGTTCTTGACATCGTTTAGTACTTTTGTAATATCATCAGGGCGTTCACCTTTTTGTTTATGGTTTCTGAAACCCTGTATTGATAGTTTAGGACGTGAATCTGTCCTCGTAAATACGTAATTATAGTTTTTGGACATTTAATCATTTTCAAGTCCTTTTTCAAATCCTCAGTTTGAACCCGTTCTACACCTACATATTTCACTCGCTATTCATAGGCGTTCAATGAATTCACTAATCAAAAATTCTCAGGCGATGGCCTCCGAGCACGCATCCACGTCGAGCACCGCCCTCGAATACGTCTCGATCTTGACCGGCCGCCGCGCTGCCATCGACAAGGAAACGCTGGGACATGGCGCGTGCCAAAACGTGAACGACTTCCAGAAGCTGAACCGGCTCGGCGAGGGCACTTATGGCGTCGTTTATCGCGTCAAGCAGATCCACACCGGCGAGATCCTGGCCCTGAAACGAGTGCGCAACGACGACAACCGCGATGGCATTTCCGAGGCGGCACTCCGGGAAATAACGCTGCTGAATCGGCTGCGACACGACAACATTGTCGAATTGCGAGGCGTCGCAGTTGCCCGAGATGTGAAAAGCATGTTTCTGGTGATGGAATACTGCGAGCAGGACCTTGCCTCGATGTTGGACAACCTCAAAATCCCATTTTCCGAGGCGCAGGTGAAGTGCATCGTGTTGCAAATATTGCGAGGAATGGCCTACCTCCATAAGCACCACGTATTGCATCGTGATCTGAAGGTCTCGAATCTGCTCATCACCTCCGACGGCACGTTAAAAATTGCCGACTTTGGCCTCGCCAGGACGTACGGCTATGACGAGCATCCGATGACGCCCCGAGTGGTGACACTTTGGTACCGATCGCCCGAACTGCTGCTCGGCTCAAGGTTCCAACTGCCCGCCGTCGACATGTGGGCGATCGGCTGTATACTCGGGGAGCTGCTCCTGCACCGCCCGCTGATGCCCGGCAAAAATGAGCTCGACCAGATTTGCAAAATCATTGACCTGCTCGGCACGCCAAACGAGAAGATTTGGCCTGGATTCGACGAATTGCCGGACATCAAGAGCTTCTCGTTGAAGAATCAGCCGTATAACAATTTGAAGCGCGTCTTCAACAACCACACATCGGCCTGTATCGATTTGCTGAACTCGCTGTTCACATTCAACCCCAAGTCTCGGATTTCCGCTTCGGCCTCGCTCGAACACGTCTATTTCTCGGAGGCGCCGATGGCGTGCGACATCAGCTTGATGCCCTCATTTCCACAGCAAAGAAGCAGAAAGCGGCCTTCTATGGATTGACCTTTATTTGTCCCGTTTAGCGCAGTTTCCGCTCTCCTTTTCCTTCTTCTATTAATGATTCTAAGGTATTTTTACCGCTCTTTTCAATATCTAGATACCTTCCTCATTAGTGATCAAAATGCCTTATCATTGGAATTTATCTGCTCCATCGGGTTTGCCTCTTCTCCATCCACCGGTTCCCAGATTTCATCATTACCTCTTTTTTGTCCCGCTCTCATACTGGTCCTCGATTGTTTTCACTTTCCATTATTCTCACGTTCGCCTTCGGTCTAAAAGAGCCTTTTCAGGATATGAGTGAAAATGTAGGAAACTTCGGAGGAAACAATCGTGGCGGCGGCCGTGAGTTTTTTTGATAGTTTGTGGCTCGGACGATTCCATGGCATCCGAACCCCAAATTTAGCTGATTCTTCAGAAGGCGGCCGTGGCGCGTACGTGCCTCCTCATCTTCGTGGAAGTCGCGGCGGCGGCGAAGATCACGGTAATGGTGCACCCCGCGGTGACGGTGGTATGCACAAGGTAAATTATTAAATTGTTTTAGTTGCGTTCGCATTCCACCTTTCTCGTCTTTCTAGAAATTTGGAATGGTGTTAACACCATCCAGATCCTACCATTTTTTAGGCCAGCTATTTTAGGACACGTGTGGCTGGATTTTCGATTTATTAACACGTGCTTTTCCAGAGTTCAAGCTTCAACAATCGCGGAAATTTTGGCGATGGTGACGGCGGCAATCGCGGATATGACGGTGGATACGGTGGAGGACACCGTGGCGGACGCGGCGGTGGTCGTGGCGGCCGGTACGTCCATGCTCCAAAAAAATCAACTTTTGCTTTAGTGGCGACTACAACAATGGCGGCGGCTACCGCGGGCGACAGTCCTACGACCGCAGCAACTACCACGACGAGCAGGAGTGGAAGGGACAAGGGCGCGGCGGCGCCGGCGGTGGACATCATGATCAGGCGCCTCAAGATGGAGGAGCCGGATTTGGCGGCGGATTTGCAGGCGGAAATCGCGCTCCCGCACAGAAGTGAGTTTTAGCGTTGGGACTACTGCTGAAAGCTATAAAGACTCTTTAAAAATGCAAAATTGCGCTCGAAAATTGACGATTTTGGATGGAAAAATCGAATTTTTTGTATTGTTTAACAAAATTTTTAAAATGTTTACTCATTGGAATGGTAACAAAACTGAAAACGGCTTTCAAACGGCTTTTCAGCTCTCGCTGGAGCCAGGAGCAAGAGCGTCAGCAACAAGGTTGGGCCCGCCAACTTCCCCGAGGTTTGTAAATTCGCCCATACCTTTAATTCCCGATTTTAGACGAACGCCTCGAGCAGGAGCTGTTCGCCGGCATGAACTCGGGCATCAACTTTGACAAATACGAGGAGATCCCCGTCGAGGCCACCGGCGAAAACGTCCCCCAGCCCATCAGCTACTTTGCCGAGCTGAAGCTGCACGAGTGGATCGAGGAGAACATTAAGAAATCGGGCTACGACCGCCCCACCCCCGTCCAGAAGTACAGCATCCCGGCGTTGATGGACAACCGCGATCTGATGTCCTGCGCGCAGACCGGATCCGGAAAGACAGCTGCCTTCTTGGTGCCGCTGATCAACGCTATCTTGCAGGTGTGTTTTATTCCTGTTTTCGAAGAGAAGCAAGGTGCTTTCGCATTATCAGGGGGAATGGCAATTTTTTTGCCGATGTCTAGAAATGTCAAGTAACTTAATCGGAAGTAGCTTAATAATGTTCTTCGTAAATAGAACTTCATTTCAACTGGAAATTTCAAGAATGACGAAATTCTGGTCAAAACGGCCATTTTCGACGTTCAACCCGCCGGTAATGCGAAAGAACGCAAGTCAAGCTTTTTATTCCCGCAAAGTATACGCAATTTATTATTCCAAATGTAGCTGAAAATTGCCGTTTTAGTTTTCTTTAAAAATTGGCTAAACTATTGTTTTTTAGGGTGGTCCCGAAGCCATCCACCGGGAAGACATCGGGCGCTCCGGGCGCAAGAAGCAGTTCCCCAGCGCCCTCATCCTGTCGCCGACCCGTGAGCTGTCCCTCCAGATCTACAACGAGTCGCGCAAATTCGCCTACCGCACCCCGATCACGTCGGCGCTGCTCTACGGAGGTCGCGAAAACTACCGGGACCAGATCAACAAGCTGAGGGTGCGTTTTTGGGAATTTGTTCTGTTTTATAAGGAGCTGTCATGCGTTTTTTTTTAAATTGGGGCAAAATCCTGAAAAGAGCCGGGGTTGGAGCCGCTCTAATCTTTATATTTTTCAAGCTAGCGAATAGTCTTTTTTTCTAAATAAATAGCGAAAAATTGCGTTTATGAGACCCAGCCCATTTTGTGCAGAATTTTTTGCTGATTCCGAACCCGCTTTCAATTTTTGCCAAATAGCCCGATTTAAAAAGTTACGGCAATTTTAAGATCATATTTGAGCCCGCGGGCGGTCATCTGTCACGATGCCCAACTTTTTTGTTTTAATATGCCAATCCATTTTAAATAGCCTATCTTGTAGAGAAATTTTTTCTGATTCGAATGGTATATTTAATTACTGCGCTACTGCCTATCGATGATCACTTATGGGAGTGTGAAATAGCCTGTTTTTCACCATTTCCCATACAAAAAACGAAGTCCATACCAAGTATCGTCGATTTTTTCGATTTCCAACAATTTTGAGTTAAATAGCTCATTCTATAGAGAAAAATTTTCTGAATACGATGGAAATATTCGTTTTTGATAAATCAGCAGGGAAACGCAAAATAAATGGCTTTGAAGTTAATAAATTTGGGAAAAAATGGAACTTTGAAGCGTTATAACTTTTTAAAACGAGCTATTTGGCAAAAAATGAGCAGCGGATTCGGAATCAGCGAAAAATTCTGCACATAATGGACCGGGTCCCATAACGAAACGCCACCTCGACCTCGGGTGGTTCCCTTGTAAGGCCTTGGGGTCAGGGTTCGATCATGTGGGCCAGGATTCCCATGACCACCTCCAGGTCGGCCGACCACCTCCAGTTTGGCCGCGAAGCGGCGAAAAAATTTTCGATGCTTTTTGCACCTAGGGATCCGCAGGTTAAGATTCAAATCCGTCAATTCAAATCCGCAGATTCAAGCACCGCCCGCTGCTTGAATCGATTAAGCCAACCCCGAGCCAAACTACAGGGTGTCCCAAAAAAAAGCACCCCCCTCTAGCGGCGCGCAGTCGTGTCCGATTTTTATCGTTTAGGTATCTATCGAAAGCTCTTGAAAAGGCGAGAAAACAAGCAGGGTTCATTTTCTTTATTATCTATTTTTATTAGCAGATTTTACGTCCAAAAACCATGAAAACGGCAGATTTACGCGAAATCTGCATGCTAATCGCGAAATTCCTATTGAAAATCTACCTGTTTTTTAGAAAAACGTTGAATATCCAGCGTATAAAAATAAATCTCATAAAATAAATCCCGCTTGTTTTCTCGCCTTTCCGAGAGCTTTCGAATGGTATAAAAATCATCCCGATCTGAGCTTCCCCCGGACCGCTAGAGGGGGGTGCTTTTTTTTTGGGACACCCAGTATATGTCTATCAGCGCCCAAAACCCGCTTCGCGGACCTTGGGCGCTGGAATGCGGCTTTTGCATGAAAAATTTGAATTTCCGATAGCTCGGGTCCTGCGGACTCCCCCCCACCCCCGACCAAACTCGCGAGTGCAACTGGCAAGAATGAGGAAATTTCTATTTTTTTCACATTATGCAAATTAGCCCTCAGGTACACCCAAAAATGAATAAAACCGGCTCTAACTTTGTAAACTTGTATTTTATCGAAATTCTGAAAACGCCATCTGAAACAGAAGGGTCGATTCCCCCGGGTGACGGAGAATTGGACCGTTTTGGCCACGGGAAGGCCCTCAAATCGGGCCTCGAAACTGACATCCACACACACACACACACAAAGATACCCGCCAAAATTATATACAGGGTGTCCCAAAAAAAACGACCCATCTGGCATTTCGCCGTATGACATCCAACCGGCCCCAAATTTGGACCAGAGGTGTATCAGACCCTAAATAACAACAATCCTGACTTTTAGCGCCGTAGCTACAGTCGTTCTCGAGTTATAGCAAAAACAAACTTTATTTTCCATTTTTCATAGGCTTTTCGTGGAATTAGACCCCTAAACATTAAGTGAAAATGATCCGGTAGGCCTTCTTTACCTTCATACATTTTTTCCAGAGTAAAATTAATTAAATAAGCTTCGATTTAAGCGATTTTTACAACGCAAAACTACCCCAGTTCTTAAGCGAAATTAGGGATTCGCAGCCGGAAGTCGATGCAAATCGATTCAAAGTCCAAAAAGATAGCCGATAAAACAGTCCAGAATTCCCGGAAAAACAGTATTTTCGTTATAACTTTAAAACTACTGTAGCTATGGGGCTGTAAGTCAGGATTGGTGTTATTTAGAGTCTGATACACCTCTGGTCCAAATATGGGACCGATTGGATGTAACCCGGCGAAATGCCAGATGGGTCGTTTTTTTTGGGACACCCTGTAAGGTAGGATTTCGGCTCAAATTCACCGTTTTTCCTCCCTGAAAATCTATCTAATGAACAATATTTTTGTGTAGTAGATCAAAATGTTGGCATAAAGCGTCTCTATCACATGTCAAGAGTTTAAAACCGTATCTTATTATTTTGACAACCTCCAGGCCCATTATCGACTGATTTTGGCCGAAAAGTGCCATTTTTGGATTACCAAAAATTCCGTTTAAGGAAAATATTTTTGCATTGTACATCAAAATGTCGGCATTAACGATGGTTACAACATAAAAAAAATCCAAAACGATTACTTATTATTTTGACAACCTCCAGGCACTTTATATGCTAATTTTGAGCAAAAAATGCGATTTTTCGGTTTCGACAAAATCGTCCTATCGAAAATATTTTTGTATTGTACGTCGAAATGTCGGCATTCAGAGCTTCTATAACATATCAAAAGTTCCCAACGACATCTTATTATTTTGACAACCTCCAGGCCCTTTTCCCAGTTAACCCAACGCTGGATTTTCCGGCCCCTGAAAAAAAGTAAACCTGGAGGTCATATCTAAAATCTTCCTGAGATGGATTTTTCCCAAACTAAAGGCTTCCATCGATAGCCAAGGATACGATCTTATTTGGGTGAAATTTTTAACCCGATCGGTTCAGTAGTTTTCGAGAAATCCAGGGGTGGGCAAGGTAGGTAGATCTGCAAAATGGGGACTGCCGGGATTTTGGTGGCGGGGCAGGGACTGCCGGGAGGGCGGGGGGGAAGACGGCGCGGAGCGCCGGAAAAAATTTGAGATTTTTAACAATTCAACATTGCAGGTAACAAGTATTTCATCGGGAAAACGGAAAGAAGCATTTGTTTGAATATTTGAATTATTGCATGTAGTAAGCATTGGGGGCTTTTGGGTACTCAGTAAATTGTAGAAGGCGAACATGGAACCATATCCTGCATACCCAACCGGCAGTCCGTCCTCGAGACATTTTGGGGGTTTTAAATGAAAAGTGCCTTTTTGAGGGTTTTTCCGGATTAATTCCGGAATACGATGATTTGCAGCTATGGGAGCGGTATCAAATTGTAGAGCTTGTTATTCCACATCGAACCATACCTCACACGGCCCACCGGCAGTCCGACTTCATGGATATGTTGGACTGCTAGACCGGAAAACCTGGGTTTTTCAAGGCTTTTCCGGCATAATTCCGGAATACGGTAATTTGAGGGCCTGAAAGTGGCACCAGATTATAGAACTCATCATTGTGCGTCGAACCATACCTCACAAGGCCCGCCGGCAGTCCGACTTCATGGACATGTTGGACTGCCGGACCGGAAAACCTGGTTTTTCAAGGTTTTTCCGGCATAATTCCGGAATACGGTAATTTGAGGGCCTGAAAGTGGCACTAGATTATAGATCTCATCATTGCGCGTCTAACCATACCCTACATGTCCTTTTGGCAGTCCGACTTCGAGGAAATGTTGGACTGCCGGATTTGAACCCGCATCTGCAAAATGAAAAAAACGGGTTTTTGAGGACCGGGTCGCGACCCTTTAGGGGCCCATATCTCGGGGCCCCAACAGCGCACCGAGACGGTAGGCAGCTCATTTTGTAGCTCAGGCTTGGGGCTATCTGGTGGTGTATCAGCCTACTTAAGAAAACGTAGGAGGCCGGAGATCCTGGACTGCCGAGTTTGAGGCCATTTTGCAGGAGCACATTTTACGAGTTTCTTCCAAAAATCATATCTAAATAATTTGTCGATGGATTTGGCTCAAAATTTCGGAGGAGATGGACCGTAATCTGTTCTATTTAAGGCCTGGAAAAGCAAAGCGTCGGCAGTCCGATTTAGGAGGTAAAAAGAGCGATTTACATTTTGCAGACATTTTGCAGACGCGGGTTCAAATCCGACAGTCCAACATTTCCTCGAAGTCGGACTGCCGAAAGGACATGTAGGGTATGGTTGGACGCGCAATCGTGAGATCTACAATTGGGTGCCACTCTAAGGCCCTCAAATTACCGTATTCCGGAATTATGCCGGAAAAACCTCAAAAAACTAGTTTTTCCGTTCCGGCAGTCCTTCATGTCCATGAAGTCGGACTGCCGAAGGGGCATTTAGGGTATGGTTCGACGCGCAATGACGAGATCTACAATCTGGTGTCACTTTCAGCGTGAAAAACTACCATATTACAAAAATAGAGAGGAAAATTCTATAAAATAACTCTATTTCCATACATCCGTTCGAACAGCTCAAGGATAACGGACTGCCGACGGGACATATAGGGTATGGTTCGACGCGGAACAATGTGGTCCACAATTTGGCGTCACTCCCAGACCGTGAAAGTCCATGGAATCTATCTAATTGCGCCATCAAATGGTAACCCACGTATGGCGGCGTAGCCGCAGGCCAAAAATCGCTTTTTCCCTTCCAAAATGGACTGCCGGACCCCCGAAAAATGGACTGCCGGGATTTTGCCGCTGCAAAAAGTTGCCCACCCCTGGAGAAATCCCACTTCGAAAAAAAAAGTTATGGGAAAACGCATGGGAGGCCATTTTAAAGAAACGCTTTTAACTCAAAAACTTTATATTAGCGTCCCAAATCTTTTTTACTCCTTTTATCTCCTAGATTCTTCCGCATCCATTGCCATCTTGCGTTTTTCCTTGCCGAGCCTATCAACCGAGATAACCTCATGGGAAGCATGGGTTTTTAATGGGAAAATCTACCCGGCTGCCAAAATACCTATTTCCGCCCCGTGTTTGACACCATTCTGCATTTTAAACTTTACAGAGGTCTTCCTGATCCATTCTCTAGCGATTCCGATCGATATTTTTCAAAAAGCAAAAAATTTGTCGCGGCGGGGATTCGAGCCAGGGACCCTTGACTCGTCAGTTTCTACTTACCCCCCGGACCCATTCTGCATTTTAAACCTTCCAGATGGCTTCCCGATGGATTCTCCCGTAATTCCGTTCTATATTTTCCAAAAAGCAAAAAAAGAGCTTGCGGCGGGGGTTCGAACCCGGGAGCCCTGACTCGTTGCCTTCTTCAATGAATTCGTACAGCAGAGTCGATTACTGGCCGCGCGGCCGCGAATTTTTTTTTAGGCTTTTTTGCCCCCCTCCAGGCTGGTTGACCACCTCCGGGCGGCCGACCAAATTTTTTCCCATGCTAATCGAACCCTGCTTGGGGTAAATTTTCTAGGTTTTTCAAAAACTTAATTTATTTGTCATTAATCTCACTTTTTAGCTTGGCTGCCACATCCTCATCGCCACCCCTGGCCGTCTGATCGACGTGATGGAGCAGGGCTACATCGGCCTCTCCGGCTGCAACAACCTGGTGCTCGACGAGGCCGATCGGATGTTGGACATGGGTTTCGAGCCCCAGATTCGTCAGGTATAGCCTTGAAAGATTACTGCATAGGAAAACCGCTTTAAAATTATCTAAATTCTTTTTTATAGCTAAAATTCCTTTTTCTTTCGTTGTGATATCTAAATTTCCTCGAATGCGATGCGCCAGATACGTTAGGTATAACGTTCAAAAGATAATGCTGAGAAATACCCTTCAAAATTATCTAAGTTCGTTTTTACCTGAAATTCATTTTCCTCCCTTACTAAAAATCGTGGAATTGATTATGATCCCCAGGTTTGCCAAGTATAAGCTTGAAAAATTAATTCTATTCTAAAAAGCTTTCAAATTATCTAATTTCGATTTTATACCCAAAATTAGGCCCCTAAACACCTTTTCCGTGGCGCCCTTGGGAGGGTCATAGCCCCGCCCTCCTCCCCTGTCCCCACTCCCCGCGTGGCGTATTGGCTAGCGTGCCGGCCTACCACCCCCGGGGCCCCGGTTCGACCCCCCGGCAGCACAAAAAGGGCCCGACAACGCCTCAATGGTTGATTGGGATAGTTGCATGTGCAAAAGAGTAGCGACGGCCACGTGTTTCCTGTTCCGAACACCATGCGGAATGGGGGTCAAAGGCTTCCCACATTTTTTGAAAAATTATTTTGACCCTTTTAGGGTTTTTACTGTAGTTTTGGGGCGACTCGGGCTTCTTGTAGGCCTCCGAGGGGGATTTTAGTTGATAAAAATATAATTTGGATATCTAAAGCAAAAAAACAACATATTTTTGAGTGGTAAAAGTTGTGCGATTTTGTTCATTCTTTTACTTTCTTTGGTGCTATGCTGTAACCTTAAACTTTTGGAGCCTCTTGTAAGCCTTCTCTAAAAGCTATTTAGTCTATAAACCGTAGAATTTCATCATCTAAAATAGGATCTGATTTTTCAAAGTATTTTTTTGGTGGCATAAATTTTCTTATTTATTTATTCATTTAATAGGACAAGCTGCAGAACATTCTTTTTAAAAAATTTTGGAACCGTAACGTCAAGGTCTTTCTCCGAATACCTAAGCCTTTAAAAACTAGTTTTTGACTGAAAAAAAACACTAAAAATCGTTTAATAAAATACTCTAGATTGTCGAGCTGTCGAGCATGCCGCGCAAGGGTGAACGAGTCACAGCTATGTTCTCCGCCACCTTCCCCAAGGAGATCCAGGTGCGAAATAGTTTTTCAATTTTGAAAGAGATCTTTAGGTTCTCGCCCAAGATTTCCTAATGCCCGACTACGTGTTCTTGGCGGTCGGCCGTGTCGGCTCAACCTCGGAGAACATCCAGCAGAAGGTCGTCTGGGTCGAGGAGAACGAGAAGCGCAACATTCTGATGGATCTGCTCGATGCTGGAGGTAGGTTTGCTTGAATTTTTCGGGAAACATAGTTTTTAAACATTTTTAATCCTGAAAATGATTTTAATGAATTTTTCCAGGCCAAGAAGCCCTGACCGTCGTGTTCGTAGAGACGAAACGCGGCGCTTCGGATCTTCAGTACTACCTGGAACGCAATGACTACGGTGTCGTCGCCATCCACGGCGATCTCAAGCAGTTCGAGCGTGAGCAGAACCTCGACATGTTCCGGTGAGCTTTATTTCCTTAGGAACAACCGTCTGTTTTGAATCGTCAATAATTTCGCTTTTTCAGGTCTGGCCAAGCCAACGTGATGGTCGCTACGGCAGTCGCTGCCCGTGGTCTCGACATTCCGAACGTGCGCCACGTCATCAACTACGATCTGCCGAATGACATTGACGAGTACGTGCACCGTATCGGTCGTACGGGTCGTGTGGGAAATATTGGTACGTTTGTTTTCTTATTACTATTTAGCTTCCGCTTGTCTAGATTGTTGTTTCATGGATTCAGATTCATTTTCCAGGTCTCGCCACGTCGTTCTTCAACGACAAGAACCGCAACATTGCCCGCGACCTGATGGACCTGATCGTCGAGTCGAACCAGGAGCTGCCCGATTGGCTCGAGCGCTGCGCGAGCGACAGCGGCCGTTATGGCGGCAGCGGACGCCCGCAACGTGGACGCGGTGGACGTTTCGGAGGTGAGCAAGCGTGGATTTTGCGCTTAAAACGGATATTAGAAAATTTCATACAAGGACTCGTTTTTAGACGTATTTTAGCAATGTGAGTATCCGTGTCATTTAATAGGGTTTGAGTATCTAAAAATGGCATCCTTTCAAATGCGGTTCAAATTATCGATTGTCGCAAAACTAGATTATCACCTAAAAACAATTTGTTGTTAGCGAAATATATTAGGTGATTGAGATGAAAAGTTGCCACTGAAAGTAACTTTTTGCTATTTTTTAATTCCGCTCTATTTCCGTTTATAATCTCCCCATTTTTAGGCCGCGATCATCGTCTCGAGTCTGGCGGCGGCGGCGGCCGCGACTTCCGCAGCGGTGGTGGCGGATACGGCGGCGGCAGCGGCTCGGGCTACGGGAGCGGTGGACGCTCGGGCGGCGGCTTCGGCAACGGCGGTGGTGGCGGCTTCGGCGGCGGCTCGCGCCCGGCCCCGTCTCGTCCGGCGGCCGCCAACGATTGGTGGAACTAAAGAAGCCCCCAGAATTTCACACCATCTTGTTGCGTGCTATCAGAATTCCTTGTTTTTAAATTCTTTTAATGTCTCCTCTTGGTTCAGCCCATTCTAGTGACCCGTTCCCGTAAATTATACGACATCCGTCTCTGTCCCTTTCTCTGTGCTTGTGATTTTAGGACATGCTAGACGATTCTACCCCTGGTGGTGGGGCTCGAGTTTTTCGACTCTATTTCATCTGTTGCCCGCCAATTTCCGTTACTACTCGAGTTCGTTTGGCGCGCATCGTCGGATCCGCCACTTTTTCGGTGTTCCAAAAATTTCAAGCCCCCTTCTTCCGTAATTTTGAACATTTTTTCGTAGGGGCCATCTCCTCATCGTGTTTACCTGTGTTTTGTCACCCTCACTCAGCAGTCGTGTTTGTGTCGATCCCTCCCCCCCCTCCCCCCAAATTCCCGTTATTCACTGTACGCGTGGCTTTTGTGCTCCGCTGCGCCCGGCCCCGGAGTATTTATTTATATTTATTCGGCCGCCAGCGCCTCACACACCCGCCCGCGATCAACTTCTTGTGAATCCCCGGCCTGAAAAATACTCCCCCCTCCCCAATTTCTTGTGCTTTTTGTGTCATCGATAACTTGCGCCCTTGTTGTTACCTCTCTCTCCTTTTTTGTCTCCCCCCTTCCTCTTCCAGGCTACCACATTTCCAAGGTATCGTGTTAATAAGGAATTTTAATGACGCTGCTACCGACTTCTTTTTGACTAGAATTCTTGATGGAGACATTGATGGGATTTAGGGTTTTTCGTGCTTTTTTCAGCAGAATTTTTAGCTCGGGCTAACCCCAAATTTCGAGTCTTTTCCTTGCCCAACCCGTTAGTTTTGACGCCCTGCCCGTTTATCGGGCTGTGCCGGGGTTGACCTTGCAAGGGGCCGGTTCGGAAATTGCACCCCCGTAATTAGTCATTTCCCCGGGTTTGCCGGGGTGCTGTGGTTTGTCTGGCCCCGCCGGATTTTACGATCATGTGGCATGCATAAATTGCCGTGGTCTGCCGGTTTTTGAGCGATTTTCGAGGCCCCGGCACTATTGGGCGTTGATCACTAGCTCTGGTCATTGCGTCATTTTTTAAACGTCCTTCCTCTTAATGCCACTAGCGGCCACTTTTGGAACACCACCCGACACCAAAAACGTACCCCCGAGACCATTTTCGACCCCGTGAATTACGGGAATCAAAAACAGCTGTTCTCCCCCGCCGGCCAAGACAAACCACAACCCCGGAATGCCCTCTCCACCTAGCCGAGCACCAAAAGCCCGGGCAGACGGCCCGAGCAGACATGCACCACAGGGTCACACGACCTTGCTCGTGTCGATCCCGGTGGAGTGTCTCGTCGCGGCTCCGCCCAGGTGTTTCGCGTTTTTCCGTCCGATATTTTTCCCTCGCGCCTTCGATAGGGCAAAAGAGGGCGGAAAGGGATAGTTCGGCCGGGGTGCGAGTCGCGACACACCCGGGCAACGATTAGCCCCAGCCTCCCGACTTGGCGCTTCCTGTTTTGGTTTTTTTCGAGCGGGAATTCTGGCTGTAAACTCGAAAATAGTTTTTGATACAAAAACCTGAAAATTCTACTGAAATCGAAATTTTTTTGGCCTTTGTAAAAGGCCAAGTATCCCTTTTTAAGCCGATCTAAACCCACTTCCGGTTAGTTACAGGTTTCACACGTCGAAAAACACGAAATTCCTTGCCCCCCACTTTCTCCTCCATCTTCCCATCTTTTCTGATTGGCATTTTTCGAATTTCCGGGCATCCAATTTTTGGATGCATCCCCTAGCTCTAGGTCTAAACTTTCTTCTCCTTTTTTCCTCTCTCTTCCTCGACTACGTAAATTCCCTTGGCTTCACCGCGGTTTTTCGAATTTTCAGATTTTCCGATACCGGCATTAATTTCCTTCATTGTCCAATGTTAAGGCTTCTTCTGAATGGTGGCCGTGATGCCCGTCCGCTAGAAACGCGCGTGCTTTGACGATTTATCAGGCAGTGGCTTGGGGAGAAATTGGCACAATTTTTTGAAAAACGGAAATTTATTTAACTTTTAAAAATTCTAAAAACTCCCCAGCCTGCCCTTGCTGTGCCCCCACCTAACACATTGTCCACCGTGTCCGCTTCCGCTTTACGGGGGCCAGCATATTGTTTTTGAGCGGTTTAAAGGGATTGGCAAGGCAGATCTTATAAAATCCATGGACAAAACTCTATTGCTTTGCCTTGCCGGTACATTTAAGCCGCTCGCTCCCGGGTCCCGCATGCGGATCCTGCCACTTGCGATTGGAGACTTTCACGAAAATCGGGTCGACCCACGCCTCAACCAAAAAAAACCACACACAGATCCGTAAATTGGGTGCTGCTGTAAACTTTGGAAACTAAAAAAACTAAAATTGGAAAAATCAACCTAAAAATTACGACCTTTTAAAAACGCAGCAGCACCCCACTAACCCCTAGGATTTTTCAATTATTCTAATTTATTTCACGGGGGCAAAACATAATTCCTATTTATTCCTTCCCCGGAGGCGTCCACTTAACAATACAATTCCGACTGGTCTCACTAGGGATAATGCCTCGATATTTTTGTCTAAATTTTTAATTATCGTTTTTTGGCTGTTTTTGCAGCTTTATAATTTTCTATTGTTGATTCCGCCGGGCTCGCAGAGAGCTCGTCGCGCGTCTAGTCGGCTTTGTCGGCCAGAAAATCGACAATTCCCCCCAAATTTCCCCCTAGCTCCATTTCATTAATGCGTGTGGGTCGCTCCGTTTAGTCTCCCGTCGTTGCCAGGGATCCCTCAATCTTTCTGGGACTCTAATACCTATTAATTTTCCCCGCCCCGGGACGGGGTGCTGTAGTTTTCAACTTTTCGAGTTTTAAAGTTAAAATTTTTGGACAATCCTGTGGATTTTCACTTTTTCGGACCAGTTTCAAACTTCTACGCTCCTTAAAAACCACTACAGTACCCCCGACATCCCCCCTGGGGCCCCTACCGTAGCCGCGGCTACGGTATTTTTTAGTAATTTAATAATAACCTAATTGTTTGGGCACGCTGGCGCGTTTCATTGGTGTGGACGGGTACCGCCTCCTTCTTTTTTTTTGTTCTGACGAAACTTTCTCTCTTTTTAATGGATTTTGACACGAATTCTCTGTGTAATGTTTTTTTAATAAATTTGTTAAATTTATAAAATGAGAATCTGCACGATAAGAGAGAGGGAGAGAGGGAGAGAGAAAGAGCGCGAGCGAGAGCGAGAGAGTGAGCGCGTTAGATAGAGAGAGCGAGAGTGAGAGAGCGCAGTGAGGGACAGGCCTGGACGCGGGCCGGCCCGACAACCCCATTTTTCTCGGCCCGGCCCGACGCGATTTTTCTCGGCCCGGGCCGACTTTTAGAGGTCAAAACCGGGGTTGGCCAAAAACCTGTCACCAAAGTGGTTTAACACCTTTTCAAGGTACTTGCTGTTAATACGCGTTAGTGTGTCCTTTTTACAACTTTTCCGCAAAGAAAATTCAAAGTTTAAATTCACAACGATTTTTAAGGGATAAATATCGATGGAGTTTAGGATAATAAAGTTAAATTCAACAATTTGGGGGTCTAATTAACTATTTTAGTGTATAATTTAATGTTTCATACGTTACTACGATGTACCATTATACTTCTATGAAAAAACCCGGTCCGAATGACTAAAAAATCCAAAAAGCAAAAAGATGGCAGCGGGCGGGATCGAACCCGGGTCGATTTCCTGGTAGGGGGTTAAACCAAAAAAAGATCCAAATTTTTACTGAGGTTATATAACCATGCCCAATAGGCTATTTGCGAGCGAAAAATATGCACAATAGCACACAATTTCCGTCCAAAAACCTATTTTTTTACTTAGACAAAAATGTCGGGCCGGCCCGGCTTTTTCTGAATTCTCGGCCCGGCCCGGCCCGGCCCGGAAAATCCCAATTTTTCTCGCCCCGGGCCGGCCCGCCGTTTGTCCAGGCCTGGTGAGGGAGTGAGAGAGTTAAAGAAAAAGAGCGAGATAATCACAAAAATCACAAAATGCATTCAAAGAAGTTTTTGCTGTAGTTTTGGAACGCAAAAATGGGTTTTTCATAAAACTTTGCGTGCCATACCTTCCTCGATCAAATCTGGATTTAAAAGGCTTAAAAATGTATATTTTCCTACGTTTATTCGGCATTTTTGAACCCGATTATCGTAAACATTGCAAAACAGCAATCAACCGCCCAATTATCGTTCCCTTTTGAGGCGTTATCTTCCGGCGGGTCGGGCCGCCCAAAAAAGCCGCCGGTCAGCGCGCACTGTTTGCCGTTTTTCGAAGACGGCCGGGGAGTCCGATTACGTGTACTCGACTACGGTTAAACCGAACGCGACGGGATGGTACTCACAGGTGGGTCATTTTTTAGAATTGGGCTCTGGCAAGCGTAATAAAACTAATTGGGGACTGTTGGGGAGCAAGAGCTACATGACGCGTCTATGGACACCTAAATCTCGATATATCTCGCTCTAGATGGCTCAGTTTTTTACGATTTGAATACTTCAAAGCCTCGGAAAAGGCGAATTTGCTCGTATTAACCTCGTATCCGCGCTCGCATCATCGCTTAAAAGACCTTAATTTTGAAAGGCATTTTCTAAAGACTGTATTTCTAGCTTTTCGGGTTCTGCAGCATTTTAATAGACGTGTTTTTGGCCTTTCTTTTACTATGCAAACTTCCAAAATCGTTTTTTTCCGAATTCACCGTACAAGGTTATGCAGAAACTCTAAGTTTGTTTACCGAACTTGGAGCTTTTTAACGAGCTTTCTTTTGGCGTTTCATTTACTTTAAAATACGCCCGAGATCATGTTTTCAGTACGCACCATGTAAATGTCTTAGGATGCTCCATATCCCCGCCCCTCCTGCCCGACCTTGAAACCCGGGTTTTACAGGCAGCTAAAAATACTGCGTCGTTCCACTGGAAACCCTAAAAGACGGATTTCTCCCAGACTTGCACGCCACCTTTCCCATTTAAAGGGCTATTCCAGTCGAATTTCAACCCATTTCCTCTGCTTTTTGAGTATATAGATACTTCGCCTTTGAAAATCGCTTCATTTTAAAATTTTTCCCCGGAAAGTGAGAATTTTCAACGCAAACCAAAAAAAGCTAGCCTTACTTCAAAATTCCTATAGAAGTTTCGGGGTTTTTGACTTTGCCATAAATGACTTTTGCATAGACTTGGCTTGATTTTAGGCTTAGCTAGCGTACGTCTAAATAGGTTCTAAATTTCCGTTGAAAGCAACACTAGCAGCCCCGTTCAAAAACGATGTTTTCTTGCATTGATCCAATTACTCCCCTCTAATTTCTGCCATCATCTCCCTCTCATCATCAAAATACGTCCAACAGGGGCGTAGCCGGAAAAAAATTTCGGGGGGGGCCCCCAAAAAATTTTTCCAAAAAACTCAAAACATTGCCGAAAAAACAGCGCCGCAGGCAAAAATTTTTGAAAAAAAGGCTGCATAGCTCTACAAATAGCCATAAAAACGTGAAAAAATAGCGCCGCAGGCAGCAAAATTTTTGAGAAAATAAAAATCATAAGGGTCCCCCCTTATGAAATTTTCGGGCCCCGGCCGATTTCGGGGGGGGCCCCGGGCCCCCGGGGCCTGTATTACGCTACGTCCCTGACGTCCAATAACACACAGCTGTTTACTCCTTTTGAATGCCTACGTCTCTCCCTTCTCTCCGCTCTCTCGCCCCATCCAAGGGCACGCTATAGCCTCGTGGGTCGGGTTGGCTTGGTGCTTTGACAACCCCATCCCCATCCCCTCACCCGCAGCAGCCAGTCCCGGCTCACTGCCACATTTCCTGCCGTACCCGATTATCGATTTTTCGCATTGATTTTGGGGGGTGTGGGCTCAGATAGGATGCCTTTGATGCAACATACCTAGAGTTAAGATGCCACACTTTTGTGACCACGCGATTACGTTGAACTCAACTTGCATAGAATAAAAAGAGTTAAAACAGTTTAGCTGTTAATAGGGCTTTTTAATAAGTCGATTTTTCGGCATAAAATTTGGTGCTCCGAGGGCCTCTTTTAGATACCTGTGATGTAATGTACCTATACTTAAGCTATGCCGCCTTTAGGGCGACCTCAGCAAGTTAAGCTCTATTTCCGGCGGAGAAAAGTAGTTGGAAAACTTCTAGTTTTTTATAAAGCTTGTTGATAAATCCTTTATCGATTTTTCGCAATGAAATTTGGGGTTGAGGGCTTGATTGTAGGATACTTGTTAATAGAAAATAGAGGGGCATGGAATACATCACTTTTGCAGCGACTTGAGCAAGTTAAACTCAACTTAACGTTGAATAAAACTAGTTGATTTTTAAAAAAACTCTACTATACCCGATTATAGATTTTTAGAGTCAGATTTCGGGGTTTTCAAATGTTCGATTGGCTCGGGTTTGTGAAATTTTAGCAACCAGCGTGATCTGAAAAGCTCGCGTTCCTCGTTTAAATATGGAGCATTCAAAACTAGGAAACCTAGAAGCTTCAACTTCTCGTAAAGCAGCTTATCGTATCTTGTCTCCTAGATGAAGCCACTTTAAATTACTCAGATTTTCTTTCAGAAGGATCTTATGCGTGCATGATGGATGAAGCGGGGCGTCTGCCCGTCTTCATCTTCCCCTCGGAGGCGGAGTTTGTTGTAAGTTTTCTGGTTTTCAAATGTAATATATTTAGTGAACATGTACTCGTGGTTACGTCCTTTTTTGCTAATATTTAACTCGAACAATTCCAGATTGGCCCCAGCTCGTCCGGCGACCCGAATCGAAACCGGAAAATCTTCGGGCTGTACAACCCGTTCGATTATCCAATCACTTATAAAGGTGAGGTATCCTTGAGTAGAAAAAGGTCGAAAATGTCCTTAAAAACCATGTTTTGACAAAAAAGTGGCATTATTGTAGTTTTGTGATGAAATATAGAGATTTTTCAGTCCTCGCCACCGCCCCCGACAACTACGAGGTCGAAGAAAATGCGGGGACGATCAGGAGCAAGGCGAAAAAGGATATGTAAGTCTATAAAGAAATACAAAGCGTGTTTCTTCATCTAAAATATTAATAAAACAAGCTTTTTATAGCCTTTCTAACGGTTTTAATGAGTTTTCGAATCCTTATCGCTTTTTTTTCTGAAATTTTCTGAAATTTTTATGAGTTCCAAGCCGTTTTGCGCCGTATACTGGCTAAAAACCATTAAATACTTGTTAATCGCCCTTTTTAAGAATCGTCCGCTGCCGACGACGACTGGAAGCTGGCACCGTAGAAAAATTGCGCTTCGAGACCCGGAAACTAGGAGAGAAGGAGGTGGGTTGGGCTAGCAAAGCTATCCTAAAGATGGCTGAAGCCTTATTTTAATCTATAAACGAAGTACCTTCAGCTACTCGGCCAACGCGACATTGCGTTGCGTACGGTGTGGGTGGCCAGCGGAGCTTCAAGCGAGTCTCCAAGCGATCCGCGAACCTCGGATCGAACGTCCCGAGAACAGCGGCCAAGGGAGCCGGTCGTACGCGTGGAACCACAGGTAGGTGCAGGTGTTTGAAAAACAAAAAAAAAATCGCGATATAAGTAGATCTAGCTAAATAAAGTAAAAAAAATTTCCAGGCCCAAGAGCCGGGCGCCGAGCTGGAGAAGTATCAGCGGCACTGCGTCGTGATCGCCTTCCTCTGCGCCGTCGCCTTGTTTTTGCCGACGATCGGAGACGCGAACGCCGGCGTGTCCTTTCTGCCCCATTATTTTCACTTGACGCTCCAGCAAAAACTCGTAGCGGCCTATCTGCTTGGCGTGACGACGATTTTGATTCTGAAGCCGCAGCTCGGAAACCGCTAAAACCCTAAAAAAATCATAATCCTTTTTTAATTGTCGAAACAGAATTTTGTCTTAGTCGATCGACTAGCATTTCCCAGGGGCAGTTCGGCTGCGCCGGAACCCCCACGATTCCTCCCCTCCCACCTGTGATTCCCTAAAAGTCATAAGTTTCGTTGCGTACTGGTAGTCCGTCACTTTCCGTTGCCGACGCCAACAAATTCTGGTCGCCACTTGATGGTCATTTTAATTAAACAAGTAGAATTCAAAAATCAAGCCCAATTTTCTACGCGTGTATGGATTTATTGACCTGTGAAAGCGTTTTTAGCTTGGGTATCGTTTGTATCTCTAGTATTACTCGAGCATTAATCAAGAGTGCCTCCTGAAAATGCCTGCACTTTTTCACTTACCTCCGCCGACAACCGACCGTCAATTCAGCCTGAAATTATGCAGCTTTTCGGGTGAATTCCCCCTTCATTGCATGTATATACCTTTTTTTAATGTGTATTAGGCCGATATATTGTGTCCTGTTGTTTCAAATAAATCTTTAAAAACAAGGAAGAAGCAGACACGTCTGAAACAAATAACAGCATAGAGAATCGGCAGATACAGACAATTATAGGGCATCAGAGCTGTCCAAGAATCATCATCCGCAAATTCGGTGTTAATAAAAATTTTTTAGTTATTATTCCAGGTTCTTGCTCTGTCTGCCTGATAAGTCAAGGGTTCAAAGCTTCAAATTGCGATCAGTAGTTAGCGGCTAATTTGTATCCGACAATTGCATATTTCCTTGGATTTCAATTATCATATTAATTAGCATAAGCCAAACCAATTAGTTATCAGATGTTTTGTTGCTCATATACAAGCCGATAAGCCTTCTTTGGATCGCATTTCACTATTTCGAAATGTTGAAGGTCGGCTTCATCCTCTTGCTACTCATAAGCGCCTACCCGCCTGGTGTCTCGTGAGTTTTTTGTGGGTGCGAGCTTTGGTATTTTAAAGGGATCTTTCAGCGGCGCCGTTTTTAAATGAATCTTAGAAAAATGGCCTGCGGCGTTGCATCTACTTGGAAATCTTTTCACGATCCACCCAAAAACGGCGTTATTGAGATTCTTGAAGACATTTTGACCAACCAAAAAAATTGCACGACGCTTCAGGGCACTGGTGGCTAACAGTCGGGCTCGTCGGTTCGTGGAGGACGAAGCCTGTGAATGGCGGGCTTTCGTCTGCTACACGTACGCCTGGATGGCCATGAAGGGATTGCCGCACAATCCACCAATGGATCTGGAGAAAGAGGTTGCTTTAGAAGAGAAGGGTTCCAATTTTTATATTAAAAAACATTTCTTGGAATGAAAAGAGTTGACTGTAATTTCAGTGTAAACCATGTACATCTGACCTCTGCACCAAACCCCCATCCTTCACTCCAACCACCAAATACCGGTCCCTGATCGCATGTGATCCCGCAAATTTCTTTTGTGTAAGTGTTTTTAAAATGAGCAGGAATCTTCTTTAGACGGATTTTCCCACCGAGGGTGTCGCCGTACAGCCAATCTGCATCAAGCCTCTCGCCTTTGAAGATAAAGTGGCCGGCGCAGGTTGATATAGTTTTTGATCGACAACTGGTTTGATTTAGTGGAGAAGAAACACGTGCTGCTGGCGTTCAACATCTGCACGAGGGAGATGTTGGCCAAGGGAACGTGTCCCGTCGACCTGCTGTGCGCCTTACTGCCGTTCGCTAAAGTCGGATTTCAGGAGTCGCGAGCCGTACAGACTTGATAGCGTCAAAATTACACCGGGCTTCTTCGTTCCGTGCGACGCGGGATTTCTGGTGCCAAGGTTTTGCTTCCCCAGAGACATCACTATAAGCCACATTATAGGGCCGTTCGCCGAGCGCACGAGACTTCCGCCGATCCGAAGCCAGCCCTGACCTGCGTGCCAAGCCTTCAAGTACCTGCCGGCCTGATGCCCACCGATGTTTCCCCGTTTCTAAAGGACTGGCACGACATCCCCGATCCTGCCAAGATCACGGTAATAAATTAAAATTCAATTTTCGAAATATTTTCTAGTACTGTCCGGTCGGCTCCACTGATGTCGAGGCCGATTGCGTGCCGCGGCCGATTTGCGGGCAAGTTCGAACCGACGCTGCCCACCATTTTTCTTTATTTTCAGCGAGGGCAGCGTTCCTGCCGAGCTCAAAGCGATGAGTGATGCTGTTCCGGTGGAATGCGTCGAGGCTTGTGCCTACAAATACCAGGAGTCGCGGGCCGACTACGCTAATTGTCAACTGCTCGACGTCGTCGACCGCCAGGATGAGAAGAACATCAAGGTTTACGTGCTCTACCGGCAGATGGTCAGATCTTTCGTCTATTGTATTTAGTCGTAGGCTTTGCATAATACTTGAGCCAATTTATACGACGTTTGCAGTCGGGCCCCTACGCCGTTCTGATGTCGCCTGAGGAAACCCTGAAATATGGTCGGAAAGGGCCGAGCGCCGCGACTGATTCAGGCGACACCGACACCACCAAGGTGAATATAGTACCTAGCGCCGTATTTTGTTATTTCTTCTTTTGTTACTTCTCGGACGATTACAAAAAACTTTTCAAAATAACGAAAAATCGCTGTTCGAGAAAATTTTGAACGGGAAAGGTTTTGAGCCTTCTTTGAGTTTTTTCCAATAATTCACTATTTTTTTTCGAGACTACATCATTGCGACCTCGCAGAGCATCATAAATATACTAACAAATTTTAATTCTAGATCTAACAAAAGCAAAAATAGCCCTGAAAATGGGGTTGGTATGCGATTTTTTCGGCTTTTCGATATTTTTTCTACATTCTTTTAACGCTATTCGATAGAACATCGAAAACAATACATTCACATTTTTATATACAGTGCGTATCAAAAAGATAGAGCCACTTGGTTTTTCACTTTTAACTTCGCGCCGTCGTATTTTCCAGCCAAGCTAAGCATACACATCTTGTAGCCCTTGAAATGACGCATCTTTCTGTGTAGTCGAAATTTTTCTATGATCGATATTAAGCTTTTTATGATGAAAACAAGCAAATAGAGCCAAAAACACAAGTATCAAAAAGATAGAGCCACAATTTGCATCCACTTTACATGCGCTTTGAGCTTGCAAATTACATGGTAATTCTCATGCAAACCGTTCGCCTCATTCAAATCAACAAGGGCCGCAGAAAAATTTTATCGCTCTAACCATTTCGAAGCGCGGAAATGAAGCGAACACTTAATAAAAAAATTATCCATTTTGATTGCTACTATTCAATCAAATTTTTCTGCGACCTTTGTTGATTTGAATGAGGCGAACGGTTTGCATGACAATTACCATGTAATTTGCAAGCTCAAAGCGCATGTAAAGTGGATGCAAATTGTGGCTCTATCTTTTTGATACTTGTTTTTGGCTCTATTTGCTTGTTTTCATCATAAAAAGCTTAATATCGATCATAGAAAAATTTCGACTACACAGAAAGATGCGTCATTTCAAGGGCTACAAGATGTGTATGCTTAGCTTGGCTGGAAAATACGACGGCGCGAAGTTAAAGGTGAAAAACCAAGTGGCTCTATCTTTTTGATACGCACTGTACAGCTCAAAATAATGTAATTTAAGATAAGAGAAGCTGTTGACAAAAAAATATGCGCCCGCTAAAGGCAGAACCATTTTAACAATGCTATGAAATACTGAGTAAGAGTTTACTTTACCCCCCCCACGCCCCCCCACAGCCGAAGGGTCTGAAAGCTTTCGGTATTTTCGCTTATTTTGTCCGGATTTTTGCAACGCCATTCGATAGAGCGTCGAAAAAATAAAGAGAGTTTTCATTTGAGCCTACAATAATGTAAAATAAAAAAGTTACCAGGGTTGAAAAGCCGCTTCGCGACTTTTCAGCCCTGGCCCCGTCTGATCCGATGAAATTCTTCACTTTACATCATTTTCCCGAATTCAGATGGCGAAATAAATGAAAACGCGGCCTCTCTCCCATTATATAGGCTATCATCACTTCCAGTGTATGTTAATTTTTTCCTAATAAAGAGGGTGTCCGAAATTTTTACAAAAACTTAAATTTAACGTTGAAAATAGCTGATTTTGTAAAATCTTATAGGTGTGCAGTCGTCTCCAGACCATTGCGCACCTAATGACGCATCAAACATGCTCCTAATTATTCTCCTTCTTGAGATACTACTGGAACACGCTGACGGAATTTGCATGCAAAGTGGCACACACACACACACAAACACTATTTTTTATATACAGTAGGATAGCCAAAAACTTCCGGCTGGGGGGGGGGGTAAAGTAAACCGTAGCCAAATACTGAGTTCGCAATACTGGGACATTGAGGATTAAAGTATGTCGAGACGCGTTTTTAATATTCCTAACGCTGCAAACATGAAAATATCTTTTAAAATCCTTGCACTCCCGGAAAGCTAAGGAATCAACTATATTTCGGTTATAGCCACTGTTCCGCCTCCACCGTGACGTCAATCCCGCCAACGTCGACCACAAATACCCGAGATGCGTCGAATCAAAGGATCTGAAGGAGGATCAGGCGGCGCTCGTGAAGAACGACTACTTCTTGGACTGTGATACGAATCCGTTGGTCATCCTCTACCCGAAGGACATCAGACTTCGCGCGATTCCACGTCCATGTTCCGCCGACGTCGATCCGGAAATGGTACGGACCATCGACGTTTAGAGATGCCGTCGTCAAATACGCAAATTTAGGAGTTCTGCACCGCCGTTACGCTCCCGCCAACTGGGGATGACTCGAAAGACTGGACCATGTATCTGATTGGTGGTCGGTCGCTGTTTTCAGAACACTTTTTAAACTTTACGGTGCTTGCGCCAGATCGTGAGGGCGGCTTTTGGTAGTGGACTTTGGTTTTTATGGGGATCTGGGGGCAAAATTTTTTTTCTAAGGAACTGATTTGGCAAACATACATAACGGTAGTGTTGCTAAATTGTTTTTCGCTATCCCCAAGCGTAAAAACTTTACAAATCCTACTAGTAGTATATATAAAAAATAGTGTTTGTGTGTGCGTGCCACTTTGCATCCACTTCCGTATCGTTGCTCCAGTCGTATCTCTATAGGGGGAGAAGTTAGGGGTGGGTCGGATACGTCGTTATCTGCGTAATGGTCTAGGGATGACTGCCCACATATCAGATTTATAAAAATCAGCCATTCTCGATATTAAATTTAAGTTTTTGTAAAACCCTCTTCGCTAGGAAAGGTACAATTCGGATAAGCGGGGGGGAAAATTTTAGGCGGGGGGGAAACCGAAACTTTTTCCGCCCAAGCCTATATTTTTTATATAAATAGTGGAAGTGTTTCTAAATTGTTTATAGCTATTCCTAAACATAAAAACTTTACAAAACTTAATTAAAAAATTTAATTTTAGGTCGAAAAATCAATTTTTTCGGCCCAAAAATGACGAAATTTTCGACTTTTTCAAGCGTTTTTCTCACTTTTTAAAAAGTTTATCCGATTCAAATAGGCTTAAATTTTGCTAAAAACAATGTGAAAACACTTTATATTTGATTACTATTCCCACCAGGGCCGACAGGAAAAAAGTTGGTTTCCCCCCCGCCTAAAATTTTCCCCCCCGCTTATCCGAATTGTACCCTAGGAAAAATTAGCATTGACCGGAAGTAGGAAGTCGCCTATATAAAGGGTCACAAGCGAATCATTTTCATTTTTTTGGTCATCTGAATTCAGCGCAATTATGCAAAGCGTAGAACAGCATGCGGTCCAAGACGGGGCCAGGGTTGAAAAGTCGCGAAGCGGCTTTTCAACCCTGGTTTTTATTAAAATGTACAAAAAAAAAATCGATCCTGCGACCAAAAATGGCTGTTTTAGACCAAAATGCCGACTTCTAAAAAAATTTGTCATAGGTTTTCGATAGTTTTTCTAGTTAATGTATAGTTTTATTTTACTAACAACTAACTTCCTATGAAGTTAATAGGCAATACAAAATATAAAAATACAATACAAAAATACTACACAATACAAAAAATCCCCCCGCCGATAATGCGAAAGACCCAATTTTCACTCCCAGGCGGAGCTGTGTTGATCGTTATCGTCGGTGGTGGCCTCTTCGTGTTCTTCTGCAAACGGGGCGGCGGCCGCGCGAAGCCAGCCGACGCAGAGACGCCTTCACCGGATGGAGGCGCCGAAAAGGATGGCAGCGCCGACGCCGACGCCGCCGGGTAATTGGCCTTTTTCGCAATACAGGGTGCGTAAAAAAAAAGAGTGAAGTTTGCACCAAAATATCTCGCTTATAGCAGAGAATCGAAGGTACGTTACCATGCCAGAATGCTTAAATATGTTGGGTATGAAGATTTAACACAACTTGATTTTTTCGATTTTTGAGTACGAAACTGTACTATTGACGCTGATTACGACCGAAAATTGTGCGTTCTTGAACGGGTGGTGGGAAAATTCTGATTTTTGGCCCAAAAATAGTTGATATTTGTAGAAAGATAATAGCAAAGTCGTATAATTTTTCAAGCTCTACTTATTTTTTAACAAGGAAAACAAATTTCACTGTTTTGCCTATATTTACTTTTTAATTCAAAACTCGCTTCAAATACGCTGCCCATGGCTGATCTTTTGCAAATGGTATCTCCGAATGATAATCTTTAGCACAACACGAAATTTTACCTGATTCTATGGTATTTTAATATTGCTTGCTAAAACGTGCCCCAGAGGGATACTGTAGTTTTTGTTTTTCGCGTTTTTCTTTTTATTGTAAGCTGCGATTT